TGATCCCACGTGGGCTCAGGAAGAGAAGCCATTATAGGGCTGCCATCTGCTTAGCAAGGACCGCTATTAGGGAACTTATCTATAGAATTGTAAATCTTGTAGACAATTAGCATTAAAGGACTTTAGTTTTATTGCTCTAGAATGTGTGGAATGTTTACATACCGGGCTGCCCCTCACGAAAACAGAGGACTCAGATCTGAGATTATTCATTCCGGAGATGGAGCTTCCATCATCACTGAGGACTGTTCAGTCCTGAGAACGTTTGTATATAAGAGAGTATTTGATCCTGAGAGGGGAACCTCTGTCTACAATCAACAGCGAGGAACCAGTTGTATCACCAGCCTCTCATCAATCCTAAAGGGGCTCCAAGGCTTCCTGCAGGGAGGACTGTGATTCTCAGTCATGAAAGGATATCCAGGTCTGCTGCCTTTAGCAGAGATCTAGTGATTGGCAGCAACGTTCATCCCACCAGTGCCTCTATGAGGCCATGGTGCTGACCCAACAACACTGATGGGAGTTTCTGATGCCATGAACCTCAAGATCAAGAACACCCTCTCAGAATTGTTGGATTCTGAGGACAATGTGTCCAACTCAGGCTCATTGCTTGTACCATCCAACCCCTCATGTGAGGTGGCCTTTACCACACAGGACCTGGCATCTCCATTGGAATAGATCGGCAAATTCCCTAGGTCTCAAGAAACGCCAGCCTGGAAGACGGAGTCCCAGACCCCATTTTTAATACCATCCATATGGAGGACTCAGCAAAGTGACAGTAGCATTCCTGTCAAGGCTACTGCAGACAATCCAGCAGACATGGAAGGCCCCTACAGTTGTGCATGCCACCACAAAGCAGATCAAGAGCATGTACTTAGTGCTGGAAAGAGATGTCCTGTTCCATTTTCAGCACCCACCACTCAACTCAGTCATCATTGAGTCTGTGCAGGGCCAGTCGTCATGGGAACTCTTGGCACCAGTAGACTGGGAGGGCTGTTGCCTGGACAGTATGGTGAGGAAGGTCTTTGTGGCCTTAGCGTTTAGTCAGTTCCCTACTTTTCAAGGGAATCATTCTAACTTTTCCTGAGGCTTTGACTCTAACTACTTCACAGTACCAAAATGAGATGGGGCACTCAGACTGATCCTAGACTTCAGAGGCATTAATAGCCTATCACACCAAGGAAATGCAGGATGGTTACCCTCTAGAACAGTGATGGCGAACCTTTTAGTGAACCGAGTGCCCAAACTGCAATCCAAAACCCACTTATTTATCACAAAGTGCCAACACTGCAATAATACCTGAATACTGAGGTTTTAGTTTAGAAAAAACAACTCATACTTTTTTTGTCTTAAAAGAAAAACACAGTAACAGAGCTTTCAATGATACAAACAGCTTTTTATTGAAAGGTAAAAGTTTGCATTTGGTGTGCTTTTGCACAATTGATGTGATCTTTGCTGTTGTATATATATCCTTGCTCTTGTTTTCATAAATTCTTCACAAACAACTAAATATGATGCTGCAGATTCAATGAAAGAATCTCAGTCTCTTAATTAGAACATTTTTTTGCTAAATCTTAGATATTAAATTTCAATTTTACATAAACTCAAAGCTAAAATCTTGTGATAATAAAAATGATTGTATGAAAACTCACAACCAGTCCAAGCAAATATAAATATTCCTGGCAGCGCACTGACCAGCCATGCGAAAGCTCATATGAGTCGCGGCTCGTGACGTCATTGCCTGGCACCACTACTCCTTTCTGAGCACGCACATGGCCCCTGTGTTATCCAGTGCTTGGATACTGGGGCAACTTGGCTCACGTGCCCGCTGCAGCACAATTGCCATAGGTTCACCACCACTACTCTAGAACATCCTATCTCTCCTGCAAGGAGACTGATTCACTTTAATCAATTTGAAAGATGCCTACTTCCCTGTTACCATAGACCACAATTATAGACTGCACTAGATTGTGGAAATGAGATGTTGCAATGCCTTGGGGTCACAACTGCTTCCAGAGCCTTCACTAAATGTACGGTAGTGGTCTGCTCACATCTGCACCTCCAAAGAGTACCTGTAAGGAGTACCTTGGAGCACCTCCAAGTTTTCCTGTACCTTGGCAATTGGCTCCTAGTTGTGCCTTCTAAGGCAGAACTGCTACACTAGTTCTCTGAGACTTTCATTTTCCATAACAGAGAAGCTGTCATCCATTAGGTAGAACTCTGCTCTTTAATCCTCCTGTTTCTTGCCAGCCAACCTCTTTGCTTCTCTTATCCAGGGCAGTAACCTTGGATTCAAGGGAACAGAGTTGTACCCTGAGAGCCTGGGTACATGAGTTCTGCACAGTTGACAGATACTGATACATGTGGCACTCAGTGCAATACACTGAATACACCACACCCCTGCTGTCTTTCTACCTTCTTAACTGTGTTTAATTAGTAATGTTGGGTTTATTCACTGGAAAACATAGGAGGTGGGTTTTGGTTTTTTTAACTGGGAGAAGATGGTGGGGTTACTTTTAGTTGTTACTATACAGTTTACACCTTCTGACAAGGAGTAGGGAGGACAGAATTCTATGCTCTGACCTCTTTGCCCTGTTAACAGACTTGCCCATTTGCTTAACTTGTTTGGTAGCTGACACTTTGTTACTGGGGCTCTTCTCGCGCAGAGGTGACTCCTACATAAACCTTCCATATTATCTTATATAGCTTTAGGCTGGCCCAAGTGAAGCTGCTGCCTAGAAGATCTTGTATGAAAAGCAAGGGAGGCTGTGGGTGTGGGCACCTACTCTGCCCTAGCTTTCAGTGATTGGGAATATATGCTAATTGTTAATTGTTTCCCCTCAGAGTGGAGATGTTCTTTTTGGTTGAGAGCACAATAGTGAATGGGTTGTTGGAAGGGACAACAAAAAAAGGATATGTGATTTGTGAAGGACTGTTGTTTGGATGACTTGAGTTCCTTTGTGTGCAATTTAAATCTAAGTGATAATGGAGACTCTCACATTTGGACTTTGTTTTTGGACTTTCATTTGAAAGCTTCTTTGTAGCCCTAAAAAAATGAGCCTACACTGCACCCAAAATGAAACTGAAATGAACCTACACTGCACCCAAACTAGCTTTTACTTTATGTTTCTAAGCGGTCTCTTTTGCTACCACTAGCTAGACCTGCACTGTGGTTCTTGCTAGTATAGAGCTATGTATTGTTTCTCTAAGCCAGGGTTTAATTTAAATATGGACTCTCTGCTTGAGCAAGGCTGCAGGAGGTGTAAGTCTCTGCTGGGTTTCTTCTTGAGGTTTAGTTGCCAACTATACATTGGTGTGCTCATCTGAGGAGCCGTGGGGCAATCTGTGGTATTATACCTCTAAATTAGAATCAGAAAGAATGATCTAGTGGACTACCTCAACCATGTGGTACATTAATCCCATGAGTAGATCCTTGCACAATGGGAAGCCCACTGCTTGTTGCATCACTGGGAGTGTTTGTGGTGTCATTTTATGTACCTTCCTAGCCATTCTGCAGCTGGGCCAGTGTGAATAGACAATTGCTTGGAGGAAAACTTTCCCCTTTGACTGAGCATGTCTTTATATTTCTTATTAAAGATAAAGCAGAATGAGGTAGTTAATATTCTCATCATCTTGTGGTAGCAAACAAAGTATCAGACCTCCTCTCTAAGGACTTAAGAGCAGATTCTCAACCCTGTTTTCCTCAGTCAGAGACTGATACCATAACAGATCCATCCTAGCTCATCTTCACCATGGGGCAGAACATATAGCAGACCTTTTATGTGGTAAAGTGCTCTTTTTCCTTAAATGTTTGGCCCAGTGCAGTTTTTCATGCTCTATAGTTGTATAGTATGTCTTCTGTTGTTACATACATCCAAAGGAGTCGCTTTCTTCCTCTCAGTCTGTTTGTTGACTGTGTGACATCATTGTCATTGTCTTGTTGATGGCAAAACTGTTTATTATTCCTATTGGTGAAACAGTTTGTGAATGGTCTGTTGAATTTCTACTCTCCTGTTTGAGCTCCCCTGTCTTCATGAAGTCTGTTGGTGGTTCTCATTTAACTGACAGCAAAACTCTTTGAACTACTGGCTGTTTGTGAACTTTGGTTTCTTACATTCATCATACTCTTCAATAGCTATTACCTCTTTAAGGCAGACTAGTATATTATGCATTATCATAGACATGCCATACTTAACAGATGTGTCCTTTCTGCCTAAGGTGGTATCTTTTTTCCAAATAAAGCAGGACATTGTCCTGCCTCATTAATTGAGGTTACTTGTTGCATATTTTAGACATCAGTCTTGCTTTACCCTTTTATGTTCACAGGATGCTTGGGTTCTAGAATGACTCCTAACTTTCCATTGTTTTAAGGGCCCTAGAAAGGGTCTACCATTGTTGATTAGCATTTTGCCTTAACTTTTGTCAGCTATCAACACCTTTACTGTACTGGCAAATGCCCATGCACACTCTATGAGAAGCATCACATTCTCCACTGCTTTTCTCAGAGGTGTCTCTTTCCCTGACCTGTATTAGGCTGTTGGTTGATCACAAATGTCTAAGTTTGTCAGGTGTCGTGTGTTGAATGTTTAGGCAACAGCAGATGCCTCTTTTGAAAGGGTTGTGCAAAGTTCTGTAGTTCCTATCTCCAGGCAAGTCAACTTACTATTCTCTCATGTGGAACTGTACAGAAAGCATAAAAAGAAAGACAGGCCATTTATCCATAACTGTTTTAATTTGAGTGGTCATCTCAAACAGACCATCCTCCCCTGCTGCAGAAGTTGCTTTTGTCCTGCTTTTCTTTGTGTGCTTCCTCATATAGCTGCAGCAACAGTCTGTTAAATACTGCTCTTACTTGAACAGGAGTTACAGTTAAGCAACCTATCTTTAATGCTTAATTTGGCAAATTAAATAGTTTCTTTAAAGCACAACACTCATTTTGATTTTGTGGCTGAGCAAATGTTTGAAGTGGGTCTCATCCAAGTGTCTGCTGTTTTAATCATTTTCAGCCTCTACCTGGAGTGATGGTGGATCTGTTCGTCCCAGCTACTGGCTGGTTCTTCACAATCTTACACCACAGGTATTTCCATCTTCCATTCTTTCTTCATTGCCAAAGATGGAAAAATTTGAATTGCTGATTCTCTGTAATAAATATCATTGCTGTTCTGTTTAATTCAGTAGTCACACAAGCTAACTGGTATGACAAGTATATTTAGGACCTAAGGTACTAGTTATAAACCATATTGTCACACTTTAAACTAAATTCATTTTAATTAAGCTTGATTATTTATAAAAGTGTACAATTGTGTGAATGCAAAAAGTAATGCTCATCACCACCACTATTTCCGCTTCTTCCAGACATTGTTAAAGCTAAGCAGAACTGCCAATTTTCTCCTTTACATTACCACAGAATGTTTCCAGCAGTGCTGCCAGAAAAACTAGGTCTTATAAAGCCTTTTGAATAGGTAACCCCAGTTTGGGGCTTGTTGTGCAAGGATTAACTCCTGCATAACCGATACTTGCTGAACTCACATGCGACCACAAATTGCGTATATAACTTGTAGGCCACAAGTTAACCATGATTTGTCCAAGCAAGTTCATTTCTGTGAAATTGCACAACCTGTACTGTATATTTCTCTGTTTGGAGAGGGAAGGTGGTAAAGGTGGGAAGAGCTTTGATTCAGCTGATATAAAAAGGAGCCATTAATTCTTCATAAGCGTTAATGACTATCAGAGTCATTTAGCAGTCTCTGAAAAGCAGTAATCTGTTAGTAACAAGAAAAAGGATGGTTGTAATTAAACTTTTGTTAAAAGAGTTGTCTATGAGGGAACTAAAATGATGTTTATGTTAAGAGCAAATATATTTGAAGTTAGCTTAATTTCAATACATCATTAATTTTAAGGCTGTATATATGTAGTTTTGATAATATAAATATGTAAATATATTATGTCCTTAAATTGATCTATAAAAATCAGAGCAAAGATATAGTGTATCTTTCCATATAAAGTGGTTATATAAAATGCATTAGAGTACAATAATTATTGATTACAATCAACTTGTATAATCAGTAAGGAAAAGGTATTTCACTGTTTCCAGAAAGGCTGGTTTTAGCACTACAAGTTAAAAGGCATTGTACAGGATTTCCTTCTTTTTTCTTTAATGCAGGGATGGCCAACTTGTGGCCCTCAAGATGTTTTGTCCTGCAACTTCCATCAGCCCTAGGGAGCGCAGGGAATTGTTAGGGATAATGGGAGTTGTAGCTGAGAATATGGAGGAGTACAGCGGTCTGTGTGGGGCTGCCCTTGAAGATGGTCCGGATACTTCAGTTGGTTCAAAACAGAGCTGCCAGATTGCTGTCAGGAGCCAGTCACTATTCTCATATAACACTGGTCCTCTACAATGGCTACCAATTGAAATCTGGGCCCAATTTAAGGTGCTGGTATTGACCCATAAAGCCCTAAACAGCTTGGGACCAGGATACCTGAAGGAACGTCTTTTCCCCTATATGCCCTCCTGCCCCCTAACATCTGCAGTAGAGGCCCTGCTCCAGGAACCCTCCTTGAAGGAGGTTAGGAGAGTGAACACCCAGAGGAGGGCCTTCTCTGTGGTGGCGCCCTGGCTGTGGAATGTGCTGTGGAATGCACTCCCCAGAGAGGTTCACCTGGTGCCAACATTATATGCTTTTTGGCGCCAGGTTAAAACCTTTTTATTTACCCAGTATTTTAATGTTTAAAATTTTAATCATATTTTATTCATCCCCAGTCATATTTTATCTGATACTGTATTTATTGGATATTTATCACACTGTATGCCATCCAGAGACTATTTGTATAGGACAAGATAAAAAATATCCAAATAAATCCATCCTCCCATCCTCCGATCCAGTTGATCCCCAGTTGAAATTTATCTGTGCTCGTGCATTCCCTGGCAAAGTCACCCATTGAACCTTTCATGACTGTGGACCTGTGCCTGGTTTCTTGGAAGGTCTCCTTAAGTAGTGATCACTTCAGCTCGCAGGACAAGAAAACTCTGTGCACTACAGATAGACCCTTCTTACTTGATTTTTTATAAAGAGAAAGTTGCTCTTCATACCAATCCATCCTTCTTCCTTCATCCATATTAACCAAGAAATAGTACTTCCAGCATTCTACCCATCTCCATCTACCAACATCAGAAGGGCTCTACACACACTCAATGTTTGACATTCCCTAGCTTTCTATCAACTCCAAAAGGAATTGATGAGTAAAATGAAACAACTGTTCATGAGATATGTGGAACATTCCAAAGGGGAGCTGGTTAGGTCCCAGTGACTTTCACACTGCATTGTAGAAACAATTAAGCTTCCCATATGTCATCTTGTCAATTTTAGGAGCTCGAATTATTTACCTTGTGCCATTTACAGTCTATTGCCTGATATTATGACTTTACATATTAGTTGTGCTATTTTGAGTCGCTATATTTGATAAAAATTCTTTAAACCTTTCGTTCAATAAACCTGTTTGTGTTTTCTGTTTTTCCAAAGATTGATGGGTCAACTTTGAGGACCATCTGCATGCAGCATGGTCCACTGCTGACATTCCATCTGAACCTGACCCAAGGCACCGCCCTTATCCGATACAGCACCAAGCAGGAAGCAGCCAAGGCCCAGACTGCACTGCACATGTGAGTTATGTCAGCAGCCCTCTTTGAGCCATCCACAGGCTCATTTTATCAGGATACAAGCCGCATGTACATGTTTTGTTTGCCCAGTGCCAAGATATTACTGACATGTTTAGTCTATGTAATTCCTTTTAAGACTGTTTACTTGTGGTTAATGATGACACTGTGCATATTTTGTAAAAGTAGCAGAACTAAGCTTTTAAAATTGAAGTGTGCACAAAGAGATGACTGGTATCAGTATTCAGTATATTTCTTCCCAAAATTTATCACTTCACATAAGCCATAATCTTTGGTCTTCGAAGGTAATCAGTTTCCTTTTAAAACTAAATAAGAACCTGTAAAGCAGGAGTCCTCAAACTTTTTCAACAAGGGGCCATTTGAAAGGTGCCAGTGGTGGGTGCGGGCCGGCAAGGCGGTCCCAGCAGGGGTGGGGGCACGGGCCGGTGAGGGGGCGGATGCGTGGCGAGGCGGCGGCTTGCTTGCGCAGCTATCATTTTCTCCAAGTGAGTGCAAAACAATCTCCGTGGGTGCAAGCTGCTGAGGCCAAAACCTCTGAGGCGGGCCAGATAAATGGGCATGGCAGGTGGGATGTAGCCCGTGGGCCGTAGTTTGAGGACCCATGCTGTAAAGGAAGGCTAGGGCTTAATTGCTTTTCATACACAGAAGTTTTCCTTTGGCTGGCAACTTAGGTCATTGTTGGAGGGCCATCTTCTTCCAGATAAATGTTTTCTGACAATTGTGATTCTTGCATTAAAATTGCATATTCGTGTGCATTGATAGTACTTTGATTTTGCTCAGTTGTGGTTAGTCTTCTAAAGCATCTGAGTTGTGTCATTTAACATACATGAACAGGCCTGTTAGTCCTATTTAGAAAGAATATCATAGAGCTGAAAAAGTTAGAGGGCAAGACAGGGTTGGAACAACACCTCTGTGCAGAAAAGTTTTTTTAAAGATCTGGGGTTTAGATTAGACAAAGTATTAAACTGGGAAGTGATTAAGGTTTATTTTAAAAGTAAGATTTTGACAAAGTGAAATTTCCTCTCATAATATTAGAACTTGGACTCACTTAATAGAAATGATTGGCAGTAGCTTCAGGACTAATAGAAAGTATGTGTCACAATACATAATTAAGTTATGAAAGTAGCTGCTACAAGATGCAATGACAGCAACTCATTTAGATAGATTTAAATGGTGATTAAACACTTTCAAGGATAATAAACTAATGTGGGAAAGGACAGTTGCCTTTACACCCTTCTTACGGTCTTTTCAAAAGCATCTGACTGGCCACTTTTAGAAAGGTAATGCTGAATTACACAGATCCTTTATTTGACTGAGAGCTTATGCAGTATTTAGAAGTAGAAAAGTAGGGTCATATTCTATTATCTGATCAAACTGTTCTGGACTCTAGGCAAAGTCCATTTTTTAGGCAAACTGAAAAAGCAAATAAATGCAGCTTTTTTTTTAAAGTCAAACTAAATGTTCCTTACACAGCTTTTGAAATCTTTCAGTCAACTTAAATTACTTTAGCATAATTAATTTTTAACAGGAATTTCTGAAGGATTTTTAGTCAGTATTCAATTTTAAGGTAGTTGTTTGTTTGTTTCCACTCATTTGGCAATTTATAAAACTTACCTATGTGTTCTTCAGATCTGGGGAGCAATTTTTTATTTCCCCTTAATTCTTGCAGAGTTACCAAGAGTAACCCTTGATTCTTGCAGAGTTAGTTATGCCTGTTAAGAATCAGTTTAAGATCCAAAAGACCCATGCATGAATATCTGTGATGGTGCCAGTTTCACATACATTTTAGTATTCAGAGGACACCATGGCCCTCAAGAGTGACTTTTCTGGAACATGTCGCTATGTTTATGAACTCCCCAGAGAGCTTTGGCTATTGGGCAATATAGGAATGAAGGTGGTAGTGAGAATGATAAGCTGCATCAGGAATTGGGGATAAGAAAACCATGCAACACAAATAGAGTATCTTGTGTAATTCTTTGTGTTCAAGCTGTAGTTTTTAATTTGAAGATGATTTTAATTTCAGGATATTAACTTTAATTAAAGCAAGTTTAATTTCCATGTTGGTTTTACACTATTTTAATGGCATTTTCTAGTTCATAAACTGTAAAGGTAGCACATCTCATTCAGCTTAATTCATTATTTGGTATATATGCATCTGTTTCTGAAATATAATTTGGGTTACTTGAGAACTTTTTTAAAACCCAAATTGTGAGTGGTATATTCTTGACAAGTGAAAGGGATACACATTCATCCCCAGTTCTCATCTTGAAGGGAGCCCGGTCTTTTGAAAAATTCTATGTGTGTGCATGTGAAATACTCAATGATGCTTGAACTTTCCTGCCATTGCCCTCTTCTCCTACCCAAGGTAAGATTTGTGGGCCCACAGGGGTGGGGGAAGCAACAGGTATTCACATTTGTAAGGTGAGTGTCAGATATAAGCCTGGTCTTGTTCACCTGACACCTTGTTCATGTGGGCATTTGATCAAATGTGGGTGACACATTAAGAATGCTTACAACATTCCTATTTTCAAATAGCGTACTTGGCCTGCCAGTTTCTAAAATAAAATCTACCAAAATAATCTAACCAAGCAAACCATTTCCCCTTCTAAAGGAAGCAGGGGCTTCTAGAAAATAATAAAAAGGAAGATAGAGGAAATATGTAAACACTTCTTCTACCATGCAAACTGATTTTCCCTCTTAATTTACATAGTTTTTCCTGTCATAATATGTTCAAAACTGAGTTTTGTTCAGGTATTGTGATTTGTTGATGATGATGATAATGTGAATGTGTTTCTCTTCCTCCTCCCCCCTCCCACTTCCTTTGTAGGTGCGTTTTGGGAAACACTACCATCCTGGCTGAGTTTGCCACAGATGAGGAGGTTAGTCGTTTTCTGGCACAAGCTCAGCCTCCTACACCTGCAGCAACACCCAGCGCACCTGCAGCAGGCTGGCAATCTCTAGAGACAGGACAGAATCAGACAGATCCAGTTGGACCTGCTTTGAATCTTTTTGGTGGGTCAACAGGGCTTGGGCAGTGGAGCAGCGGTGGTGGCAGCAGCAGTGGGGGTGACCTTGCTGGTGCTTCATTATGGGGCCCTCCCAATTATTCTTCAAGCTTATGGGGGGTTCAAAGTGTAGAAGATCCCCACAGGATGGGAAGCCCTGCTCCCTTACTACCTGGAGACCTTCTAGGCGGAGGGTCGGATTCAATCTGAACTTAAAACTTTCAACTCTGACCTCGTGACCTTTTTTGGAACAGCAGCAGCACTAACTTGACCTTTTCTTTTTTTTCAACTTGCAATAAATACATTTTAAAAGGAAAAAAGAAAATGGAGAGAGAGAAAAAAGGTGGGTCATTGACAGGACTGTCTGAGCACATAGTTGCCTCCCTTATAACTTCAGTTTTTTCGTTTGGAATATGAATCCAAAAAGAGAACATATCACTCTTGAAATACTTGAATCATGAACGCCAACTTAGAAAGACAATGTGAAGCAAGTACACATACCATTTAAATCTAAACACAAAAAATTAAAAAAATTAGTTTCTAGTTTTTCACTTTTTCATGTTATACGGAAGTTGTTGCTAAGAAACATATATACTGAAAAATAGCTTTTTAACTTTGTTTGCACTGGGTGTGTTTCCGTCCTTAGGTCTACTATGTTGGGATGGGGTGGGGTTCAAAAGAATTGGGGGGTGGGAGGGACAAACTTGACGGAGCCTCACTTTAAATAACAAAAAAGGAAAAAAAAACACTTTGTGATTGGCTGGTTGATATATACCAGTTTGTTCTGGCACATGTAACTGCCCATGTGTATGTTTCTGAGTATGTATGTGTGTGTGATTGTGCATGTGTGCGCGCATGTGTGCATTTTTGTCTTGGAAAGCTGCATTGCTGTTGGTCAGCAACCTATTTGGCTAGACTCTTTAATGGAATAATGATGGTGCCTGTGACTGATGCAAAATCAAATTGACCTGTATTAAAATCTGTCGGTGGTATTTTATTTTAACAGGGTCAGTGCAGTACAAATCTTGTTCTGACCCTGTCATAGAGCAAAACACTGCCATATCCTAAGGATTTGGTGAGATGGGTGCCAGTGTGGGAGTTTAGGGGTTGGGGGTGGGATTCTGTTTTGTCTAGAAGTATATTTGTCTCTAATGAGACATTTTGAGTAAACTGAAGCTTATTTTTTTATGACAAGGCCTTTCACTTTCCAAGGAAACCAGAGAAAAAGGGCATCACATATCTTTGTGACAAAGACCTATCTTATGGTTGAAGCTTCTGCAGTCCTTAAGAATGGAGTCTTGTATCTGTTTCTCAAGTCTTTACATGAAGATTCTTTTCCAAAAATCCACCAAAACATCAGGCTGAACTGTATTTTCTTAAGTGATCTGCTCCCTGTGACAAAACTAAAATGTCAGTAGTTTGCTGGCCTGTCTCTTACTGAGAAAGCACATGCAGCAACTTCTGTTCTCCTTTTCTCCATGGTGAGCATTACCTGTGCCAGGCCTAGGTGTATTACAGCACCAGACCATCACTGACAAAAACGTTTACTTACGAATGTTCTTAAACCAGTGTGTACTTTGAGCAGTTTTTTCTCTGTGTATTTTCCTGTGTATGTCTTGCTTAAGTTTTGCTTAGGCAGGCATATAACTAGCAAATACTTCTTTTGTTTATAAAGTATTGCACCTTTATTATTTTTACTTTTCCCTGTACTGTTGCTTTTTATTGTTGGTATTTAAAGAAAGGTTGTATGTTGTATTGTTTTCTGTTTTGTTTTAACAACAGTATAGTAGTACTCTGGGCAGGATAGGGGAGACCTGTCATTAATTCAAAAGAGAGCCAGTGTGTGCACTGGGAACAGAATTGTTTGTTGTGAAGAAAGCTGTAGCAAACATTGCCTTTACACAAAGCAGTTTTGAAGGTGGGCAGAAGAGGATACAAACCAGGAGGGAGATGGAGGCATTCTTCTTTGAAGTGTTAGAACTTAGCTCTGGCTTTTCACTCACTGTACATTTTACTGAATAACAAAGTGCTGCAATATTCTGTACCAGCAATTATCTACATACCCTGGCACTTGGAAGTAGCAGGTCATATTGTATGGGATCATAATAGAAGTGTTGTTCTCCTTCAACAGTTTCACTAAAAAATACCATGATACCTGGTATATGACTTAAAAGTATTGATCACAAAAGTTAAAAATCTTTACATTTATGTCAAGAGGGAGGAATTTGTGAATTCTGTACATGAACCCAATATCACACTGAGAGGACTTGTAAGGGGAATGCTGCATTTATATCTGCCTATTGTTTTGATGTGAAGTTTGGCAGTAAATAGAGGCAGATACTGTTCATTTAAACTGCAGCATATGTGGACCTTTTAAGTGTTTCCTTTTTTTTTTTTCTTTTCCTCACATTCGATCTCATATTGAAGCAAAATGTCCTGTCCCCCCCCCCCCCATGGATTCCTGCCAGTTCTGTTTCCATTTCAACCGTTAGACATGCCTGTTCTTTAAACAGGTGTATTTGTCTTTGGGGCCTCAATTTTGAAAAATGCAGGATAAAGTATAGAAAACGCCCTGAGCTGGGAGAACATCAGAATGCAGCACCTCATGTCCCAGGAAACAGCTGAGTGTTTTAATATGTGAGTTGACACGCAAGCTGATTCACTACTGTGTTACCACTCTCTCCCAAACTGACCTATGGTCCCTTTGCCTGCACTTTGGATTTCTTGAGTTCGTTAAGATACTACGGTGAAAGCCGGGTGCTAGAGCCCCTCTTGTTTACAAGACATAATGAGGGATATGAAATATTTTTAAAAAATGAAAAGCTAAAATGTTCTTCCATCACAAGCTTAAAGGGAAAAATTAAAAGTTATAAAAAAGACCAAAAAGTGCGTGTGCGCATATATATATATACACACACATATATATATATGAGATGAAGACTAACTCTGGGAGCATTTAACAGTGTTTTTGTGTTTAACATTTATTTTCCTGCTTTAAATTTGCAAGCATTCTCAGGAATTCTAGGGTAGGAAGCCAGTTTTTGAAGATGGTTTATTTAACCTTTACCTTATCCTAGATAGATGGCTGTTTCTTTCATAAACTTTTACAAGTTCCTGAATCTTCAAAAAATTTAAAAGTTTTGTTTCTCTTTACAAAAGCAAAAAAAAAAATTGAAAAATAAAACCTAGCAAATACAAACTCCAATTGTTAGAACTGGGGATCAAAATTTTTTAAAAGTACAAAATGATTATAAAAGAAATCTCAACAGCAGCAACAAAAATCAATATATTCTTAAAAGTCCAAGTTGTGAGAAGATTTATACATGTAGAGCTTAGTCTCAAGTGGTGGTGTGTGTGCAGTTGAATGTGGGAGAAGGTTGTGTATGAATGAAACTGATCATTTCACAGTGAACTTAATCTTCCTCCAAGCACCTTTTTTTAAAAAAAAAAAAGAAAAAGAAAAAATAATTAAAAATACATAAAATGCATTTGGTTAGACTCAGTAAGTCAACCACAGCTAAAAGGAATTGTTCAGATTATTGGATGGTGCTTCTTGAAACTGCTTTTAAATTGACAGAGTGCTTCAGAAAGGCGATATCTTTATTGTGCTCCAGTAATGGAGCAGTTTTAACTTGTATTCATTTTAAAACAGCAAATGAGAAAAAGGAATGACTATGGAAAAATCCAGTGAAGTGTACATTGAAGCAAAATTGTCTTGGTTGATTTTAATCATCATTTTGAAGATGTTGATGTTTGCTTTTCTTCATTGCTCAGCCAGAGATGTGTAAATTAGAAGTTTTGCGGGGTTGGGGAGGGAGATAAGATACATTAGCTGTTGCTGCCAGACATCAGGACTTCCATCTTTGAGAATCGGTTACTGAAACTCTGTTCTCAGATGGTTAGCTCCTAACTTCCAACACACAGAGAGAAGGACTTAATCTGCTTGAAGCTTTTTAGATAGAATGGAATCACAAACCGCTTTAGTGCCTTTGTAATACACCATGCATCCTGCAAAAGGACATATGCAGTCCAGTCACTCCCAAGGACATTAATAAATTCGTCTTTCTAATTTGAAAGAATTGCTCTGAGCATGCATATAAAAAGCCTCAAAGGCCTGTTTTGCAAAGAGTTACATATAAAGTGCAAGTGTACATGTCCAAGTATTCTTTGGAAAACCTAAGGCAATCTCATGCATTACTGTTTTCTTGTTTTGAGATACTCTTCATATAGTAAAATAGCCAGAATGTGTGAAGAGTGGTACAGGCCCCCACCACAACTACCACCAGTTACCTGTTTGGTAAGCTGATAACTGAATGGGGAAAACACACATATTACACACATTACTGCACTCATGGTTTTATTATTACTATCTCAGTGTAGGGAAATAGAAAAGTGTGAAATAATGCTTAATGTTCTGTGGCATCAGTTGGCATCTGTAGCTGTATGTTGTGTTGTTTCTCTCAACTGAATACTTTGTGTGATCAGCTACTGAAAAGATTCTTTTTATTTTTTTGAAAGGAAGCTTTTTACCTGAATGCTTTGTGAACAACCTTGACTTACTGGCTGACAGGCTCCCAGAATAAAACTATTTAGTTTTTCAAAAATTAAAGAATATCATAAGCTTGTTTCTTGATAAGAACTTTGGCTGACAACTGCTGAAAAGAGTAGACTTATCCATTACCTCTCAGCATTTCAACCTATGCATACTGAAGATGTCGCATTTCTTTTAAAAAGTCAGCTAAAATAATATCCTAGCACCCTTTCATTTCTGAATGTTGGAAATATTTAGTTGTTCCTTTTTCAGCCATAGCAATATAGGCTTCCAGTTGCTGTTTGTGTTTTGAATCTGACAGGTTCTATCTGGCCTGTGAAAGTGATCATTTTGAGAATTGAAAGCACCAAACTATACTCAAGAACCCTTTTCTCCCAAAAGGACAGACTGGCACTAGCTTGGCTGATCCATATGAGAAATCAAAATATGCATAAGGTAGCAAATAATGTTTGTAGCAAGTAGCTTAATATAGCTTCTACTTTAAAGAAGGAATCTGAAAATGACAGTGGACAGGAAAAAAGTTTTTAAAAGCTGTTTTGTGGGGATGGTATTCCCACATCTTCATATGTGTTCCACAAAAAAAGGAGAGAATAGGATGGGGTGTTAGAGACCTTAGAATTGCCCATATATACCCTTCACAGCTTGAAGCACCATGTCAGATTATTCCTTTTCTCCTAAAAAGTCTTGCTTACAGCAAGACTTGTGTAATATGTTTTAGTCTTATAATTGTAAATGCATGTGCCCAACTTAAGTCAACTTTTAATTTCTCAATCATTCTATTTTTCCTCACCCTGTTTAAAATAGAGCCTAGATTGGACATATATATTGTCAGGTTCAAAATATGATTTAAATGGATTTGGTCTTCCTCTTTTGCCTTATTATGAGAGCCGTCCTAGGATAATACTATGACCCTATTTCCAGAAACCTACATAAAATGGCAAACTCATTGGTAAAAGTTGTAGCCTTTCCCAGAACATTTATGTAACTGGGTACTGTGAGCTTTCTCTTAGTGCTTAGCTTCTTTTTATCAAGAGAAACTTGAAAACATGTTTCTCTTCTGCCACTTGTTTTGAAAGATAGCTGTCCATCTTGGTAGCCACATCAAAGATTAAAAGCCTTTTGTTACCATAAATTGGAATAATTTTTCTTCAACTTACTGCTGATAGCTTAAGTGAATGTAAACAGGAAGGCATTTCCAGATTAATTTCAGTTGCAGGTCCCTGAACTGGCAAATGCAAGAACTATTGACTCTTCCTCAAGCCAGGCTTCTCTTTATTCTGTGCTCCACTCTGCCTTGTTGAATGTTACTTTGTCTCTTCTATTTATACCTTTTATTGGCTATATGAACAGTAGTTTACAAATCGTGTACCCTTATTTTTATAACCTTAGGTGACTAAGAGACTCTGGTCTCCCTTCAAAAGGTTCCATGTAGCTTTTTCTTAATTCTTACCTTAATTATACATTTACAATGACAAAAATATTCTGGATACAATAGAAATGCTTCCCCCAAATGCAGTTAAAATTATGCATGCTAAAATCAGTACATGCTCTCAGCAACATGTACGGATTTGCATCTCATTAGCTGAAGGACTATGTATAGAATCTATAATACTGGGTTCCCTAATCTCCCCCTCCCCAAAATAGCTGTTCATATCCCTGCTGATTATTCTCCATATTAATGATATGGGCAGTCATGTAGATGTGTGGCTTGATAGTATATTAAACCTTACCGTTGCAGCTGCTGTATATAAGGTTTAGGCAACAGAGTCCTAAGATTGTTGTCTAATCTTTCTCCAGGAATGTTTTGCAGAATTTCCTACTGTAGCAATCCATCTCAAAGACCTAAACCTTCTCTGGTGAAGTATTGCAAAAATACAGTACCCTTCAGTCTGATCCATACAATTTGGTCATAAATTAATTGTTAATCTGTTTTGAACATGCAGCCTTGTACAAAGTTTTGTAGTGCTCATAAGGGAGTGAGTGAAGATTTTCTATTAAAGGTTAGAACTTCTGTTTTAAAACATTGTTAAAACGTAAATAAGCAGTAGTCAGTTAGAATGACTATTTCCCCTCCCATACTAGAAAAGGAGGGAAAGTTCTAATCAGGTTTTTTGAATGGCAGGTCCCCTAAAATGTTAGACCACGTGCCCTTCAAATGTTCTCCTAGCCAAGTATGGGTCCTGTTTCTATGGGAAAGCCCCATATGATCCACTTTGACCACATGGTTCATGGTTTAGGGACAGTTCCCAGCTAGCTAAGGTCCTCTGACAGATAAAACAGCTCCCACATGGCTGGGAGAATGTTTTAATGGAGTCAGTGGCCATAACCAAATCTCTGATTTATGTAACAGTGTCAACATGCTTGCTTCTTGAGATTGTTTGTACAGTATGGCATATATTTACAAATCTCATAAAAGACATGGGCCATAGAAGGATCAAAAGAATCAACCTCAACTAAAAGCCAATTTCCTCTTCATATATTTGGTAGTAGTAACAGTCAAAGTCATATCCTTTATACTTTTTTATTTTTTATCCATAGAGTTGGGATGTGTTTTATTTGAGCCCACCAACCATTTATTTTAATACAAACCAGTGCACTCCAGGTCATTGAAAGTAAAGCTTTGTGCTAGGCAACCTGTGGATAATTTTTGACACATTATTGGCTGTGTGTGGAATAGAAAAAGATAGGGATGGGGGAAGATGTCCCATAGATAAACAATAAAGATGGGCAAAGTTGATCAAGAAGTGTTTTTAAGCACTTAGTGCCTCATCTTAGGTATTAGTCAATGCATTCAAAGAACGAAATTCCTCATCTCTTACCATGTTTTAACCTGAAAAAAATATTGGATGTTTTCTGTTAAGGAAAATGCAACTTTTAGCCGAGTTCTCTTTATAAAGATTGCTTAGCTTGCTGGATAATACTTTTTGTGGCATGGTTGTGAGTATCAAGTGCTTTTCTTCTCCTCCCTTATCCCAGCCAGACTGGCTCACCTTCCTTTTCTATAAAGTGCTGAGTGCTTTGCAGTTTGTGCGGGAGGGGAATCAAGGAAATAAAAGGGAGCCAAGGTAGAGCAGCCTTACTTTAGGGAGTAGCCTTACAACAGAGCTTTATAGTGAGGGTGTGTTGTATTCCAAATTGTATAAGCCAAAAATGAAAAAAAAAATCATTTATGCAAAAAAGAGGTGTTAACTTCTTAAAGAAATATGTACCTTCTGAAGGTAGAGTAGGGTCTCACGAAGTGATACATTGTGATGCTTCTTGATGGGTCAGTAAGTATGGGATCTGGGATATAAGCGCTTAACATTCCCTTGTGGGTTTTTTGGGTTTTTGTTTGTTGATTTAGTTCTAACCAAGCAGTAAGTTAAATGTGGTATCTCTGAATGTGCCTTTGTGAGTATGTGACTGTCAGTTCAAGGAGAGTACTTGGGCTTGACGGGGGAAATGATGGTCAGTTTATTCTCTCTAAAGGTCAAATGCAAAGATTCCAGCCTGCTGGTACCTTTTGACAAACAGTGTCTTTTGCGGCTGGTCTCTAAGCTACACATAATGCAGTCATGTGTGGCAGATGCATCCAGGTGTGGATGGGTTTTATTTCACATAAGTTGACTTTATTTAGGCTAGCTCTCAGTTGCTGGTTGAATTTGTACCTGTATTATGTATCTACTACATTTGTGTATGTGGCTTGCTTTAACCTTTTTTTTAAGCACTGGAATACTGAAACGCAGTGATGTTTGAGACACATTTATGCATGTAGAAAAGAAGGTATTTTGTAGCTTCTGCCAGTCATTGGTGTAGGCACACTTTTGCCCTCTCTGTCAGTGTCCTGATGATAGAAGAAAAAAATCTACCCTATAACTTCTAGCACACTTAATGTTGCCATTTAAATGAACAGGGTATTACACAAGAAAATAAGATGTTTTTGAAAAGGTGAGAAAGAAGTGTTGTGTTAGTTTTTTTTTAAAAAAATCTAAAGTAATTGTTTCTTTGAAGCTGTTTGTACCTTAACATGGGAATCTGCAGTGTCTCTCTTTATTTGTTCTTTCATATATATTCCACCTCTTCTTCTCCCCACCTCAAAAGCAAGGTATACAAAATTAAGAGCTGCTGTAGCACCTCTCAGCTCCCTTCCCAAATGAAAGCTGTAGCAGGCTCTCTTCGGTTCCATTCAGGAAGACAGAAGTAGGAGAGATGCAGCAGCTTTCTTTGCTTCGCTCTCATTCCTCTCTAATGGCCTTGAAATGTATTATTATGCAAATGTGAATTTTGATACTGAACTTTAAGAAGAGGTTATTTCTTTTTCAAACAAAAAAAAGGTCCCATATGTGGTCAGCATTGCTTCTTTATCTTGTAAGTGAATTGTAAACTATGCATTCAGCAAGAGATGGTTCGGGGGAGGAAAAGAGAGCCCTGCTAAACTTTTGAAACTGTTTCTGTGTCCAGTGAATTCACACATCCATATAAAATGGAAGAGGTTGATGTCATCATGGGAGGACTACTTTGATTGTGAGGCAAATATTTTTGGAGTGTGTGTGTTAGAAATTGGCTTCAGAAATATGTAACTTCTTCCTGTTCCACAGGACTATGCATTCTTGCCATGCAGTGTTAGATCAGAATCAGCAGCATGACATGAAACACCCCTGTTTTTCCCAAGAAGAGAAGTTAGCACCACCACATCTCCATCCTCTTTTCAACCTCAGGAAATGGCACATCAAGCACTGTCCTTAAGGGTTACTCTACTGCTTATTCTTCATTACAAATGTCCTTATTCCTCAGGGGAGTTACCATATCGCTTCTCCCCTCTTGCATTTCTGAAACTTTTATATTAATTTTTTAAAAATTCCCATCACAGATGCAACTTGAATAGCAATACCAACCAGGAATTGCTGTAGATTATATACTGTTCTGGCATTAGTAAATTATCTGTCTTCTAATGCTGATCTGAACTGATCAAGGAAGACTAACCATGGTAGTGATCATCTGTGATTTGTCCAGGTAATGCTATCACTATTAAAATGGAAGTGAATGATAGTAATAATGCTAAAAGGAAATTAATATTAAAGGCCTTGTAGGTCTGTCTATCATTTTAATGGCAGGAAGTTGCTGTAAAAGGCAACACATTTCACATGCTTACCTCCCAAAATGTAGAGGCTGCTTCCCATGTTAATGAAGGTGTGTTGCCTTGATTGTCTCCTTTGGGGTGTTGTGAACTATGGTGTCTGCCTTGGTTCACTGTGGCATTATGTTGGAATGCAGTATCATAACTAAGATATTCTCCTACCTGTAAGTCAGTGTTTTTCATGGAGCAATTTTGTTGGTGTTCACAGTACTGTAATGAATAAGAGACTTGATCACTCATTTTCACATGCATACTTGCCTTGCTTGATACGATCTTATCAGGATTCTACTCTGGTAGATGCCTTTTTAAAAAGAAAAAAAGGTTCCAGCTCTTTGTCACAAAATACCTCGTGGTGCATATTTACCTTTTACTATAACCAGCCTTTTGGAATACTTATATTCTCTCTCATACTTAAGGAGGTGATACTCTTTAACTTTCCCTGGTGGTTTGAAGACTGTTTCGAGAAGCTGAAACTCCTAATCCTGGCCTTTACTCTTCCCTCCTTTAGCCTTGGGCAAGAGTAATTTAACCTTTGCCTCAGTTTCCCCATCTGCAAAATGGGGATAATAATACTTTCCTACCTCACAGGGGTTTTGTGAGGATTGATTAAAGGATTTTGCAAAGTGCTTCAAAGAAAAAGTACTTTTTATAAGTATTATTATATGGAGGTATACCTAGCAGGAGACCTCCTTTCCCATACTGTTATATAGAGAATGGGAGAGGAATCTCTATTTAAGCCATCAGATACTCTAAATTACTTTTAACTATTAGGAAGAAGTTAGAGAGCTGAACCATTCGCACTGCTTTATTATCTCCTTCCTTCTTTTGATAGCATCTTTAACAGGTACATTTTAAAGAAAGTACACTTTCTTTTAAGTATGTAAGATTTCCCATCTCTTGTGTGTCTTATTTCCTCCACTTTTATTTAGATGTGGGCTTTTAGTTAAGATTCATCCTACAGTAGAAGAGCATATCTTCCTGCCACCATCGCAAAGTGTCACTGTACAGTTTGAATGAGGGCTGTAAAATGGCAAGAATTCTCCAGTACTTTGATTAAATAGAGGGACACTATCCCAGCTTCCTTGCCTGATTGATAAATATATGCTGCCTCATTCCCAGTTTCGCACAAGCCATTATATGCCAGTAGAGGATGTTAGTTAATAGAAGCTGCTTGTGAATATGCCTTACAGCCTTCCAAAAAAATTTGGGAGGTGGGGTGGAAGAAGAGGTTTAGAATAAATCCCCTAGATGTCAGGGAGCCTTTGCTACTTTCTCCATTTTCTGGTCATAGTGTCACTTTTTTCTATTCAATCTTTGACATGCATCTCAGGGATGTGCATATTGAGCCCAGGATTTTGGATTTGGATCTTGGAAAACCTAAGATGTAGTTCCATTCTCTATTTGTAATCTCCATATTAGGCACTCTCCCATTCTTTTCTGTTTTTTATTCTCCCAGAAGCAACTCTTTCCCCAACTGTTAGATGATTAATAATTCTACAGAGATCAAATTAAGAATGTTGTGGGGTCTATCCACAGGATCTATGCTTTTGTATGCTCACACTAGATTCCACCTTCCACCAGCATGGAAATAATGAAGTGCAAATATCCTAACACAACCACAACAGCTTTGCTCTGCTAATAATTATGCACTGTTTGCTTTGGAAAATACTTAATTTTTTAAAGTAGAAAACAGCAACAATATTTTCTGGTGGGAGGGTAAAGGAAAGCAGTGGGATAAGAGTTAAGAAGTACTTTAGCTTCCACTATTGAGAGACTTGACATGCTGCTTTAATTTAGAGCTCCTGTGGGGCTATGTTTACAAAGAACTGATCAGGAAACTGACCAATGGTGGATATCCAACTTTGTGAATTTTGCTTCATTACTGGTGAGCAAGCCATGTTGTGCAAAATGTCTTAACAGGAAACGAAAGAAGTTAACTCCATCTAGCCTTATTTGTACAGCAAACAGTCCTGTATGTCCAAAACATCTGGATTAGAAAAGGCAGCTTTTCTACTTTGCACATAAATAGCTAATACGAAGGTACAGCTGAAATGGTATTGCCTAAAAACACTGTCCCTTCATCACGCAGGTATAATAGTGGATACTTGTATTGAGGCTCTTTGCAAAGATACCTATTAGTATTTTTCCTTATACTTGAAGTAACATACCCATCTCCATTTGTCTGTTGGGCATCCAAGCTGTGCGGGACAGTGGAAAATAGGAAAAGGCACAATACGTCTTCATACTAGAGTTTACTCTTAATTTCCCCTCAGTATAACCTTAATTTCAGTTTACTTTTTATCCTAGGAGTTCACATGGACACAGAAACTCAGCACATTGTGCTCTTGCATGGCATGCTGCCCTCCCCTTTTCCCTCTCTTCTCTATTTTTATTTTAGTATAGTGGTACTTAAAATCACTGGTTCACTTAAAAAGACAATAAAATGTTTAAACTCTACTAATGTACAAATAAGCTGAAATGTTGCATTTATGTGTATTTTGCCATAGCAGGTACTGTATTCCTCATGCTGGATTTCAAACCAACAAAAGGGTGATGTTTTATTGGAGTGTGACAAGTTGAGAGTAATAAGGAATTAAGTCGTCGTCATTTCATTGAAATTGAGAGATGGTGTAATACATATATTACGTTTTCTGAAGGGTTTTTGTTTTGTTTTGCTTTTAAACAGCTTTTGTTTTTATTTTATTTTTATTTTATTTTTTTTAAATATGATTGTATTATGTGCAACTCAGTTGCTTACATTATAACTACAAAATATTTTTGGGTTCCTGGAAAAAAGAGACTAATAAATGTGTTTGGCTGCTAAGCATTTAATTTGGTGGCTCCTTGACAATTTATTTTACTTATTAAGTCTAAATAACACTTACTGGAATGTAATCCTTCTGGGCTCTGTGTCACGGCTGCAGGACATATTCAATTCACATTCTTTGTAGCACCTCATACAGATGGTTTTACCTTCTTCCTTGAGTGTCTTCTCAGTCACAAATAATTTCAATGTCCTGGATTGTATTGCATGGATTGTGCTTCAAGTTGCACTTGCAGATGAACAAATAAGCTTTCTCAGGAAGACAAAGTTCTAGTTTTATAAGTACATAATGGTTTATATTATATTACAGTGCAGAAGAACAAGTAAAATCATAAATGCAAATATATTTGAGAGGTTAAACTGTACTTGCACAGACTTACATTTTTTCATACTGATAAAAATAGATTTGAAAGGGAGATTTAACTGAGAATATGGCATGGAAGGAAGAATTGCACATGGACATGTGTGCATGCACACACAGCTCTGCAGACCATATTGTCCCAATATATTTGAGGAGAGGGGAGAGTAAAAACAAATATGCATCTCCATTGCCACATTTTGTTCGGCCCTGAAGGGGTTTGTACAGATATGCTATTTGTGTCAGAAACTGATGTGGTTCACCCATATTCAGGGATTAGTCACTGTACTACATTATCTTATTGAAAAACCATTGTTCTTTTACATTAAGGGAGTCTTAACATTTATTCATTTACATTTCTTCACCACCCATCAGCTCAAAAGCTCCCTGGGTGTGGTTTACAAAGAAGTATCTTAATATAAAACATACTAATAAAAATAATCCTATTAATACTGTAACACCATAAAGCATAGTACAGAATCCCACCAACACCATCACAGCTAAATCTCAGAGGTAAAGTGAATATTGTATAAATGAATATAAAATCTAACTGCTAAAATATTGGGTAAATAAAAATGTTTTCACCTGGCATCAAAAGGAACAGAGTGAGTTCCTGGTGCACCTCTTTGGGGAGCCGATTCCACAAATGGGGTGCCACCACCAAGACCCCTCTCCTTGCTTCATTTGGAGCAGGCCGTCTGAGAAGGACCTCTGCTGCTGATCTCAGTGTTTGAGCAGGCATATTTGGATGGAGGCATCCCTTCAGATAGTCTGGCCATACATTGTTTAGGACTTTAAATGTTAATGTTGGCACTTTGAATAGTGCCTGGGCTATACCAATTCAAGTCTCTGGACTGTTTTCAAAGGCAACCCTGTTACAATAGTTCAAATGAAAGGTTACCAGAGCATGGATCACTGTTGCTGGGCTCTGCCTGTCCAGATAGGGTTGTAGCTGGTAAAGTCGCCTCAGCTGATAAAAGGTGCTCCCAGTCACTGAGTCCACCTGTGATTCCAGTAATAATTCGGGACTTAGGAGCACCCCAAGAATACAAACCCTGTCCTTTAGGGGGAATGCATGCCTATCCAGGACAGGTTTGATATTTCCCAACTGGACAGATTGAACCACCTACCAACAGTTCCTCCATTTTGTCTGGACTGATTCTCAGCTTATTGGCTCTCATCCAGTCCAGTACCAGGCCCAGGTACCAATTCAGAACAGTCACTGCTTGTTGATGAAAAAGAGAGGTAAATCAGAATGTTATCTGAATATTGGTGATACTTCATACCTCTGGATGACCTCTTCCATTATTTCATGTAGATGTTGAAGAGCATGGGGTATAAAATAGAGCCCTGAGGTACTCCTTGGCATAACTGCCATGGTGCAAAGCACCAGTCCTCCAGCACCACATTCTGAAATCAGCCAGACAGGAAATAGCAGAACCACTGCAAAGCTGTGCCTCCAGTTCCCAGCCTCACAAGCCTATCCAGAGAGATACCATGGTTGATGGTATCAAAAGCCACTGAGAGATCCAGGAGAATCAACAGGGTTGCACTCCCCTGGCAGTTTCTATACCAAAACCAGGCCTGAAACCTGATTGAAATTGATCTAATCTTTTCATCCAAGAGTGCTTGAAGCTGCTTGGCCACCACCTGCATAAAGGAAGGGGATATTAGCAACTGGTCCATAATTCACATCTGGGTTCAAATCCATCTTTTTAGAAAATGGCCTGATCACAGCCTTCTTAAAGGAGCTAGGATTATTTCCTTCAGGGAGGCATTCACAGCCTCCAGGACTGAGGTGTGAATCCTTTCCTTGATTTTAATGATCAACTCATCCACCAAAATGGGACCAGATTGTGTCCTGGATACCTCTGTTAAAGGAACTACATTAACTGTGGCATCCAATTTGTGTTGGATCTGTGCAATTTTATCAAAGTGATGAGCAAACTCAGTAAGTTACCAAGGGTTCAATCAAACACTTTAACTTTGAACCCAAGCATCTGCAGACTGTTAATTTCATATGCTAATTTCCATGAGCAACAGCATGCCTTGGAAGAGTGGAAATACAAGCAATAAATTCCAGCAGAAGAATGTATGTGCTCTCTCGTATCCCATATCTCTCTCACACACATACACATATATATATATATACACACACACACACACACACACTCACACTCATACATAAATATGTATGTAAAGATTTGTTCCAGGGCACTAAAAAAAAGAACAAACGTGACTTGTACTGGGCTGTCTTAATAAGAACCTGGCTTAACATCAACTCTAACTCCTTGCCCAGATAGACCCAGGATTGTGAACTCAGTAGCAGCAACTCCCCATAGTTTCTTACATATTTTTCCTCTCACCTGCTACCTGATACTATTAACTAACCATGCCAAAGAATACCTTCTGCATGCAAAAATGCCACTCTAATGGCAGAAAGTGAAGAGGAACTAAAGAGCCTCTTGATGTGGGTGAAAGAGGAGAGTGCAAAAGTTGGCTTGAAGCTCAACATTAAGGAAACTAAGATCATGGCATCCAATCCTCTCACTTCCTGGCAAATAGAATGGGAAGAAATGGAGGTAGTGACAGATTTTATTTTCCTGGGCTCCAAGATCACCACAGATGGGGACTGCAGCCAAGAAATTAAAAGACACTTGCTCCTGGGGAGGAAAGCTATGGCAAATCTAGACAGCATACTAGACAACAGACATCACCCTTCCAACAAAAGCCTAGTCAAGGCTATGGTTTTCCCAGTTGCAATGTATGGGTGTGAAAGCTAGACCATAAGGAAGGCTGAGCGCCAAAGAATTGAGGCCTTTGAATTGTGGTGCTGGAGGAGACTCCTGTTAGTCCCTTGGACCGCAAGGCGATCAAACCAGTCAGTCCTAGAGGAGATCAACCCTGACTGCTCTTTAGAAGACTAGATTCTGAAGATGAAACTCAAATACTTTGGCCACCTAATGAGAAGGAAGGACTCCCTGGAGAAGAGCCTAATGCTGGGAACAATTGACGGCAAAAGAAGAAGGGAACGGCAGAGAATGAGGAGGCTAGATGGAGTCATTGAAGCAGTCAGTGTGAGCTTAAGTGGACTCCAGGGGATGGTGGAGGACAGGAAGGCCTGGAGGAATGTCCATGTCCAACTTTGTGACTAATAACAACAATGGTGTTGTCTTAGTAAAACAATTTAGCTATAGTCTTTATGACTAAAAGTAAGAGCTTGTGCTTAATTTATGTCAAGGATTTGGGGTCCCCCTCCCATACACTACTTTCATTGTTTCCTAGGATGTGTAGGTACAGTACAGCTAATATACTGGCTGTTGCTTGAGTGAAGAGAGATGAGTTCAGCTGCACTACTGCAGCCTTCCCCAACCCCATGTTCTCTAAAAGTTTTGGGCTACAACTGTCAACATTCCTGACCATATATCATCTTGGTTGGGGAATTGGAGTCCAAAACATCTAGAGATAACACACTGGAGTGGGAGGAAGATTACTATATCCTAGTATCTTCCATCTCAATAGCAAATGCAAAGCAGTCTAAGCAATGGCAACATTTCCTTAATTTACCATATTAGGTCATTTTGGTGTCAAAAGAATACACCGATTCTCTAGAATTTGATTAAGATTTTCTGAATATCAAGAACACTACAGTTGTTATCTACCAATCTTCAGTTGTTGGTAGAGGTGGTGTGAACTTTCCATTAGTATGACAGGGATTCCTTTGAATCTTGGTTAATACAAATCTTCCCCTTTTCTCGCAAGATAACATGCTTGCTATGACATGATTTAATTATACTTTAACTTCTTTTCCAGAACTTGCATAGCAAAAGTACACCTGCCTCCTTAATTATAGAGTATGTTAGAACTACCAACTTCATAGAAAATGGGCCTTTGGATGGGTTGCATCCAGACTTTATCATATGTGTTTGAGCCACTGAAATAAATGATCCTTAGCTCAGTCACAATTAAATCCAGCTAATTTCAATGAGTCTATTCAAAGAATGACTACATCTGGGTCCAACCCTATGTTTTCATGTGACTCAGTATCCCACTGTTCAGAATAGGTCATGATCCTGTCTTTATGCATTAAGAATGACTGAAGTAAATTATTTGGTTGAGAATCGAATATTTCATTCAAACTTCTACCACTTCTCATTGCGAGTGTAGAGATGGGCCATATTTCTGTTTATTAGGTGGTTTTTCTTAACCATTTTCACTTGAGATCTTCATTGCAGTATCTTAATTTTTAGGGAAATAAATTGTTTTGCGTGAAGGCATTCAGTCCTAATACCCCCGCTTGCAAACTGAAGTGATACAGCCCTGACACAGCTTTACCAACTCGTGAATTAATCCTGAAAAGACATCAGGGTTGAGGAAAGGTCGTGGTATCACGTGTGCTCTCCCGCTGGTGCTGGATCATGACCCGCTGAGTCGAGCGAGAACCCTTTCCTTGTGTGGGTGGAGCGAAGGCTGCCATGCAGCCGCCAAGCGGCTAAGGCTCCGCAATGACAGACGGCATGGCCAATCGGACGTCACTGGAGGGCGGGGGAAAGGCCGGAGATTGGGCAAAGTCGAGACGGGACTTTCCATTCTTTTTACGGTGGTCTCCTGGAGGTCCCTCGCCTTTCGCCTACGGCTGCCGGGCGCAGAGTATTAGTTTGGCGGCTGCTCCCTCCCTCCCTCCCTCCCTGTCTCTCACGCACACAAACAGCGCCCGTATACCAGCCACTACAGGGAAGAAGCCCGCCTTCAGTCTAGCTATGGCGACTCCGGTTCCAGCTGGAGACGAAGATGCTTTTGGACGCTACCGCTCACCTCTCGTCTCGCGCTATGCCAGCCCCGAAATGGCCTTCAACTTCAGCGACAGAAAGAAGTTCGGCACCTGGCGTCGGCTCTGGCTTTACCTGGCCCAAGCTGAAAAGGTGCGTGTTGGTGTTAAATTGGCCCGTTACATGGTGAATTCGTCGTCGTTGAAGATCTTACGGCAGTCTTAGGCGGGGGGGATTTGGGCTGATTCAGCTCTCTGAACCCCTCGCGTGCGCGCGCACGAAAAGTTCCAGCCAACATTCCTCGTCCTACACCAGCCTTCCCCAGTCTGGTGTCCCCTGGATGTTGCGGGCTTCAGTTCCCATCAGCCTGGCTAGCATTACTAGTGGATAGGAGTTCCGGGAGCAGTAGTTTACAACATCTGGAGAGCACCAGGTTGGGCAAGGCTGGTTCTACATGGCAATTAGAAACTGCTGATTTGGCTCACTCTATCAGTGTGTACCTGCTAATTAAGAACAGCACTGTATGCACGTGATGAAGAGAGCTCTAGTCCATGAAAGTTTGTAATTTAAAACCTGTTTTTACTCTTCATAAGGCCCTGGGCGTTGTTTTGGGGCATTATAGTAGTAATCCTGTCTGCCTCCATCGGTTATTAGAACAGCTAGTATACCTTTCCAGCACCCAAAGAAAGTGGAAATCCTTTTTTCGACACTTGCTTTCCTATAGATTTTTTTTATGTTAGATTGCTTAATTTATTCCTGCTGCAAATTATTTGTTTGTATTTCTTGCCTCATTTGGCTTTCTGCTCCATTTTAACTATTCCATATTTTCCCCCTTCTTTTTAACCATGGTGCATTTCATGATGGTTATTACCTGTATTGGCTTATTAGCTGAAAACACCTTATACTGAAGCTCCCAGACCAAGTCTGTTTTAACTGTGAAACAGTCTTTGAGTCTTTGGTGAAGTAAGGATGGGCATCTCTATATATTTGTAGAGTACTTACGATGTGTAGGCAAAAGAAGGGAGTATTAGCAAGCTTGGAGGAACTTGAAAAAGGGAAAAACCAAAAAAGAGGAGAGCCCCCAAAAATAACCCAGTAAGGACTAAAGGTGCATTCACTGGGTATGACATGCTGTGTTGGTTGAAAAAGGGAAAGAAAAGTGGGGAGGAGGAAAGGAGTATGTTACAAGAAGGCATAGCTGACTGGCTGGAAACCTAAACAGGAGCATTTCACACTGCAACATTTTAAGTCCCGCTATGGAATTTCATCATAGAATCATAGAATAATAGAGTTGGAAGGGGCCAAGAAAGCCACCCCTCTGTTCAGTGTTCTAGGACATCAGTCTGCAGTTTTTAGTACCAACATCCATCCTTACACAAAAAAGGAAGCTGAAGCATTGCACCTAACTTGTAAATGTTCATGAATTCACATTTACTTTGAAATGCAATTTGATTTAATATGATGAATTCCAGATCATGTCTAGTAAATAGGTGTTCTTTATTCCTGACACCTAGGATCCTGCTGATAGGGTTGTTCTAGTGTAACTTTTTCATAAGCATCTACTCACATTGTGACTGCTTATTATTGAATCAGAACCCTTATGTGAAATTGCATCTCTTTAAATGACCTCTTCTAATTGCAACCACATTACAGTCAGCAACTGGTAATAAGAGCTGGCTGCTTATTATAAATCTAACAAAGTTTTTCCAATTAGAATAGGCTATTTATGCATATGTATCTGTGATGAAAAAGGTAACAGAATAGCTGCTGCTTATTAGAGAATGAATTAAGTAATCCCAGGTATGTATTTAGTCTGGTCACCAAATGTTTAAAGAAATGAGATAAACTTAAATGCATCCTAATGCTATATACTTTGGACCCTTTTACTTATAATGGTCTTTCATCAGGACATTTAGTGCCATGAAGTTTTCAGAGATAAGTGTGCTGACTCTTCAGTTTTCTGTCATGTTGACTTACAAGTATTTTTTTTCCATTTACCCCACCAGTTCTTACACCTGGACCATTTTTCCCATTTTGTTGGACATACTTCGCTTGGCTTGCAATTAACTTTCATTGTCCCCATTCTTGTAGCTACTTAGTCAGAAGACAAGCTAAATCCCTAATTTGGAGACAATTGTCTGTTTTTTCTGCTACAATACCTGAAATGTTTTAAATACTTTAAGTGTTTCCTATTTCTAAGATTTTTTTTTAATAACTGCCCAACTTTGGCTACAAGCGATATAGAAATTATGGCTTGGAATATTATCCAGCATAGACTGGAGATAGTAGATTTGATGTTATTACTTCTAAAGAGAAGTAGATTTAAGAAAACAGAATTTGAAGCACACAACTTTGAGAGAGCTTGATAATGGTAAGTCAACATTGAAACTTGCAGGTTGTGAGATGATTGTATAACCATCTCTGCCTGTCCTTTGATTAATGATTACAAGGTCATTAGAAAGAGTGTGCTGTGGTAAGTATGTACATTTCAACACATTTATCATCAGAAGCTTTGAACATGCTGGTTACACAACCTTCTGAAAGTAGGCCATATAGTAGACACTAGGCTATTTCGTTAGTTGCTTGTGATATTTTATATACCCAGTTTCTTCATCAGCCTAGAGGGGAATGACCCTGGTCACTGTCCTCTAGCATTCTTTCTGATGTCTGCTTTACCTCACAAGAGGATTTCACAAATCAAGAACAAACAAAATCAATTTGATCTTCTGATCCAAATGTTAAATCCTCTTCAACAATTAGCAGGATTAGCTGCTTTCCCAGAAATCTTTCTTAAATGGTACATTTTTCTTGATTTGGTTATAAATTTGCTTTTCTTGACAAAATCCTGCTAGCAGTGTCTCGATGAATAAGGATTAGGATTTAACCACATACCATCTGAAAGTGATCAATTGATAAACAAATCCTAGACACTATATAGAAATTGCAATTCTGCTGGAAAACAACAGTGTACAACCTGTGCACCTTTCTTCCTAGCTTATTGGGATTTTGCAAATAGCAAGCAGCAGCTGGATGGGCATACAATCAGCTGCAATGAGCTATATGATGCCCAGCACTGCACTGTGACCTCAACACTCTGGACACCAGAACACAGCACCATATGTTTTAGTTTGAATATTAATCAAATACAGTCTGTCTCCAACAGAATGTTTTGTGTCTGGAAATGGCAAGATGGATGTGGATATTTTATTTATTTCATTTCTCTGCTATCCAATAGCTGAAGTTATGTGGGTGGTGCAAATCAGTTCATAAAAACAACCACCACAAATATGATTAAACATCTTAAAAGCAGCTTACATTTTTTCCAAAATATGAGGTTTTAAAACAGTTTAACAGCTAAAACAATTTTAATACGAATTAGACCTGTTAGAAGCAACTGACATAAATGGCTTATCATGCCATTAAATACCCTTAAATGCCTGGAAAAAGAGGACAGTCTCAACCTGGTGCCAAAAGATGAGAAAGAGGCTTCAGATGCTCATAGTGTCTGCACAGAATCATGTTTAGAGATGTATTCCCAACTTGCAATCAGATGTCAATTGCAACATTGCAATCTGGTTGCAGGGTACAGCAGTCAGAATGAAGTGCAGGAACAAGATAGCGTAGGATTTAAAACGTCGTGCTGTATAAAGTTTTAGAGCAGAATCTCTACATTTTAACAAAGGGAGAGCGAGTGAATACACGCTCAGCCAGATGGCTGCAATTTATCCTAGCCTTTGGCTGTATTTCAGGGCAGCACAGATTTAATGAAGCTGCCACCTTAAGGATCCTTTGTTTTATCTTAATTTAGGGGGCCAGGACAGGTGGGTATCCTGGAGCTTGTATTTCAGTGCAGCTCCATGTTTCCTTCTCACTTTCACCTTAAGGAGCCACTGAAAGCTCTGCAAATCACACAAAGCTAGGAGGTGCTGCTGGACTCAAAATTATATGAGGGTGTGTTCAGTTGCAGTATTAAATGTATGAACAGGATGGTTGAATAGTGTGCTGGGATTAATGTGTACATGTGTATAGTTGGAGAGTCAAGCAAGTTGGCCAAGTGGTCAGGTAACCATTTGCTGAATTTTCAATGCTGTAGTAGTTAGTACTTGAGGTTTTCTTTCATCCAAAACTTTGTCAGGGAAGATAGCTTGAGAAGGCTTGAGAGAATTGACAGGTTGTTGAAAACTCAAAAGTTGTAAAGAGTATTGACTGTGGGAGGAGTCTTCCTGCTGTCTTGCCAGAAAGACTGATCAAAGTATTTCTAGAGGCACTTAGAGTATAAGGCAAGAAGGGACATGGGGATGGGCAGGGGTCTGTTATGACCCTAGAGCTTCTGTATCATGTTTCCTGAATTCAGTAATGGTATCCCTATTGCTATACCAAATGACATAAGCCAAAGACATCTCTCATGTACATAGAACCATGTTTTTAAAAAGTGTGGCACATGCTGTTGTAATATATCTTATGCCCTAGTGTGAAAAGGAGGCCTGTTATATTTATCCATATGATCATATTCCCAGAGAATTACAATTCTGTTCTTGATCTTCAGCTGGAAACAGACTGTCACATCATGCAGCTGTTTATTTTATCAAGACTGTCAGATTGGTGATGGCCACTAATAGAGTCTCCTTTCACTCTGGTATGGGAGATGGTTAGCTTTCTAATTAAGTGGGATTAAGGGTCATGAAAAGTAAATGAATATGAACAAAAGTAAATTACATTTATATGCTGTTTTCCTTGATTTTTTGTATAAGCATCATTCCAGCTTGTTTTTTATTCAAGCCATGTTCAGTTTGCAGGAAGGTATAAGAAGTCAATTGAGTAATTGCAGTCAGACTCTGAAAAAGCTACAGACAGATCCTTCAGAATGGGATAAGATTCCCTGAAAATTAGGTGCAGAGATGTTCTAAAAGTGAAATTCCTTTATCTTACATAGGTCATTTCCTCTTGTGGAAGGCAGATCCTTCCCATCTACCAAATTCTAATAGAGAAATGACAAAATACTTTGTTTCCTAATATAATTGCAAAGAAGTTTTGAAAGAAAACATCAATAAGCTTTGAAGTACAAGCTGGGATCGCCAGTGACCATCCCTGAGTTACACCTTGAAAGTTCAGTAGTCAAAGGATGGCTTGTTGGAATGTTGCATAAGGTAATCAATTGAGCCATAAGAATAACATCCTAGAGGAGTATGCAAATTTTGCTGAGGCCGTCTTTGATTGTGTGTATGCGGACTTCAGAAATTGTTTTTCTTTTCTTAGTCACTTGGCTTACCCATCACAGATGAACAAATAAAGGAAATGGAAGCAAATCTAGACAACATAGACTTCAAGATGGCAGCAGAAGAGGAAAAGCATTTGCGTCATGATGTAATGGCCCATGTACATACATTTGCTCACTGCTGTCCAAAAGCTGCAGGAATAATTCATCTTGGAGCAACGTCCTGCTATGTGGGGGATAATACGGTAAAATAATGTTCTGGGATTGCTTTTCTAATAGGTGGCTTTGAGTACTGAAATTGTCATTTCCTGTGCATGATTAGATGGGAAAATGCAGCATGCTAGAAGTTGCAGGACTTCTCTGTCTAAAAATGCATATGATGTGTACTTAACTTTGTTCTTTTACTGTTCTTTTATTACAGAGAGGCACACTCATACACTATTGTAAACTTTTAATTTGGCTCTACTTCATTTGGGAAAGATTTTACTTTATTTTCTGTTCTGATGATCTTTTCTCTAATATAAACAGTTTTGAAAATGATACACTAAGATACACTGAAATTAGTATTTAGTATCTTTAGCAATACTGAAATACGATTAAAACCCCAAATTGTTGTTGTTAGTCGTGAAGTCGTGTCCAACCCATCGTGACCCCATGGACTACATTCCTCCAGGCCTTCCTGTCCTCCACCATCCCCGGAGTCCACTTAAGCTCACACCAACTGCTTCAGTGACTCCATCTAACCACCTCATTCTCTGCCGCCCCCTTCTCCTTTTGCCATCTATTGTTCCCAGCATTAGGCTCTTCTCCAGGGAGTCCTTCCCTCTTATTAGGTGACCAAAGTATTTCAGATCATGAGCTTCTTGTTGCAAAATTTAGGCTTAAATTGAAGAAACTAGGGAAAAGCACTTGGCCACTCAGGTATGACCTAAACCCCAAATAGTCCCACCAAAATTAAAAACACAATTCTGTGCATATTTTAGCCAGAAAATGGCCTAGTTTTCATTGTTCCCTAGCCAAACTTGCAGGCTAGGATTGATGGGAGTCAAAGTACTTTTTTCTGTGTAAATATACATAGCACTTGTGTCCTAAGACTTTTTTCCCTATATGCTCAGGATGTGTGCTCAAGTTTATAATTTATCTGAAATACTTTTGGATTGCCCTAACTTTGTATGAGTGCTTAAGGCAAGAGTTTAGCATTAATACTGTTATCTCACAAGGATACAGATGCAGAATACTTTTCTCTTATGCTTTGATCAAAAACATGTATTTATAGGAGTACCAGAAGAGTCAGACTGAGCTCTTCCAGCATTCTGTTCATATATAGTGGCCACCCAGAATTTGTGGGAAGCCTAGAGTTAGGACATGAATGCAATAGCCCTCTGCTGCTCATGATCTACAGTATCCAGTATACAGAAGCATATTGTCTCCTATATTTCCTTCATTCTCAGACAGCTGAACTTACTACATTCTGTTTCAGTCATCCGTGTTGCTAGAAATAAATTCTGGCCAAGGGAGCTAGTTGAATAAAAAATAATGTCATGTTTGTTGTGCCAGCTGATCGTGGGTTTATTATCTTGAGAAATCAAGAACACTATATTACATGCAAAATATGAACTTCCAGATGATATATGGAATATATGCCTCTCTTCAGAAACAAAAAGAGCAAACTTTCTTTGTATGCTAGTATCTCTATCACTACAAAGTCTTCTGGCTGCAAATTCTATCTTCTCACTTGCTACTTTCTCCTCTACCTCTTTTATTTGCAGTTTGGCAGCTGGAGGGACAAGCAGCATTCCTTTCAGGGTGAGGTTGACCTAGGGCTCCTAAGTCTAAATATCTGAGCATGTTTTTAAAGAAAGCATGTTACCATTTCCCTTTAGTCCACGTTTAATAAACATGCTGCTACTAAAGCAATGAAACTATGCCACTCTTCCCTTCTACTACACCAGGTTGTACTTCTAGATTCTGCCCATACCCTGTTAATCTTTTACACACCTGATTAGTTTCAGACAGTCTGGACCTTTTTTTTTTCTCTTTTTGGAGACCTGAATGTAATTTTAATGGCGTGGAATGTGGTGACAGCAGACATTATAAACTTTAAATCTATATAAAATAATAACTAAATAAAAATAAAAATATATAAATATCAAAATAATCTGTTGTATTTTGTAGTAGTTTAAATAAAAAATTAAAATTATAAACTTTAAATCTAGTTTTGAATCAATCATAGCCTCACAGGGTATCTCTGGTATAATTGTGCTCCTATCATGCTTGTAGGCTTCCTGTGCACAGCTGGTTGACTACTACGTGAACAGAATGCTGGACTAGAAGAATCCTTGGTCTGATCTAGCAATAGCAATAGTCTTCTTATGTGCAGCAGTCAGACAAAAATATTCTTACCCACCCAGGCAGTTTAATTGCTTTAAGGAGTTCTGTGTGTTTTGTTGAGATGCTTCTGTGGTGATAAAACTAGTTAACATCACACTGAAATTATAAATACTGTTAAAGTGTACTATACAAATGTATTAAATAATTCCTAAAGGGGGGATACTACATGAAATATACCATATTGTTTCTTCTTCTTTGGAAACATTCTTAAAGATTCCCAAGATGGAAGCCATCTTCATGCGCCTATTCATAGCAAGGAATGTGAGATCTGAGTTTAACACTAAACTTAGTTGCAGAAAGGATCTGAAAAACAAGCATATATTATAGGTTTAAAAAACGCCCAATGAAGTGTACATTCATGAAGAATAGGAAATCTGCAGCATCCTGCCTTTGCTTTTTTATTACTTTCAGACCTCTGGTGGCATAAAAATAATAATAATTCCTTTGGAACACACATACAAGTTTAAGAGTGCCAAACAGTGCCCATACATAGTACAAAAAATAATTAATTACATTTGTGAGTGTTCATGGAAGCTGCAGTCTACACCAAAAGGAAAATATAGCAAACATGTAGCTATAGAACAAAGTTGTTCCTGACTGTTTTCTTCCTCTTTTCATCAGGACTTGATAGTTCTTCGGGATGGATTCAATTTGCTTCTTCCTAAGGTGAGCTGCACTGTTTCAATGGGACAGGTGATGGTAGTTTCCAAATACTATTTGCCCAGATTGACTACTTGAATGGAATTGGAAATAAAAGCAATTAGAGTAGCCAGATACCCAGGAAAAAATAAGGCTTTGCTACAGCTGTTTCCTATAGAACATACGTAGAAGTGTGGAACTCCGTTTTCCAATTTGCAACATAATTTCTGACTTCGCAGAAGTAGTAGCCTGAGAGACATTGGATGCTATTCAAAATTAGTGGTAATTTTTAGAACTTCATATAGACTAAAATTAACATATGCAATGCGTAATGTCTTTTACCAAGTTTAAAATTTGATCAGATTAAGCTTCATTTTTCTCCTCCCCATCCTGTACTGTAATGCTTCAGTTTGACAGCTGCTCCCACAGAAGCTGCCAACTTTTCCCCATCTTTCCAGTACCTGGAAGGGAGAAGTTTGTATTCTGCCTGGTGCTCATTGGAGGAATGATGAAATAAAATGTAAATAATTTGGAGTTTTCCCTCATTCTCATTTTCTATCTTTTCTGCACACATCTGCTAGCTTGCTAGAGTGATCCGCCGCCTGGCAGACTTTGCTGAGAAGTATGCCAATTTGCCTACCTTGGGCTTCACTCACTACCAGTAAGTCATTCATGGATTTTTACTCCTGATGGTATGGATGCTGCTGCAGTTTCTATCTCATTTTTACAGGCCCAGATCCAGGGAAGAGGGGACAGTTGTCCCCACCCCTTCCCCCACCACCCAGCAAGCAATTTAATTTCTTTTATTTTTACAGTTGCTGCATGCTTAAATTGCCTGCTTTGGGAGAGCTACTGCCCTCCACCCAGATCAGGGCCTGCTCTTTTATCCATTACTGGACTCTTAACTGTAACTGACTGTGACTCAGGTCAGTAACTGACTGAGATGCTATGAGATCTGCCTGTGGAACTATATGACTTCTTATACCTTCCAGTTGCAAAGGCGTCCTTTTATCTTGGCATATTTATGCTGGGTGTTTTCTCACTGAAATGTTTAAATCATCAATGCAGTTTGTGGCTGTTAAAATGCTTGTAGGCAGAATATGTTCAGTTAGATGCCATACATCCAACTGCACTAGACAGACTACCTTATATTTTCTTTGCTGTCTGTTAGACTAACTGTTACTTCCACATATGCCAGTTCAGTGAACAATTGATCTGTTTCTTAATAGAGTCATTTTTTACACACCTTAGTTACCCACATGTTCAGATCCTGTCACTATGATAAAGATGCTGTTACATAATCAGACATGGAAAATATTGAAATCCTGCCCCACCCCTGCCTTCATGTCTTGAATTGCTCATTTGGTTTAATAGGTTGAGCTTTAATCGTTGCTAGTATTATAGCAAAACAGATAATAGTTTTAATAAGTGTATTTGAATTAACCAGCAATTAAGCTATTATTTTTGAGAGACTCTTCACCAATTCTGCTTTGAGGCATCATATCCAGCCTTATTTTGCTATAAGCAACTAAATATATGAAAAAAATCTCAAATTTCCCATATTTGCATAACTCTTAACTAATTATTGCATGTTAATCTTCCATTGCTTGGAATCAGAGACTAGGATGTCTCTCATTAGTAATATAAGTCCAATTACTTACTTTATTTTATGGGTAGCTTTAAAACATAACTAATGGGCAGCAACAAAACAAGAACTGAAGCCTGTGGGAAGATCAATTGGAAAGGACAACTGCCATGTCAGTTTGCTGCTTATTCTTGATTTTACTACAATTTTGACAGTTTCTTGATTTGTGTGTGTGTGTGTGTGAGATAGACCAGTTACACTGAGGATATTGGCAGCATTCCAGTGTTAAGAATCTTACAAACTATCATATTTCTGACTTTGCTTCAGAAGGCATAAGGCAGAATGACTTATTGGAATCAATATTTCATTGGTTCTGGTTGAATATGTATTTAGAAAATGTTTTATGCTGTACGGTTTGAGTGTTTTTAGGAAATACTTTTTAAAGAATTCATATTTTAGAATTGCAATCCAAAATATGTATCTATTTAAATATTTTTAGGCATCAGTGATTATAAAGACAGAGGCCATTTTTGGAAGCTCAAAACTCAGCATTCTGACTTGATAAAATAACTTCATTGATACCAGATTGTAATATAGAGTTATTTTATTTATTCATTTATTTCTTTAAAATATTTCTTGGGCACCTATCAGGATCCAGAGACCCCTCCCAAGGTGGTGTACAACAATAAAACACATAAATAATAAAAATTGATAGTCTGTTGGCTGGGATACGCTGAGACCTGTAGGACTTATTAAAGCTCTATAGCATTGTGCCCTTACTACTTTTCCCATGAAAATTCTGAAATAAATTATGATAATGCTTCCAAAGCAATAAATACAAATCGTTTATATGGATAAACCTGGATTCCTCTTGAGTCACATGGTATATTTGTGGTACTTTTAGGCCTGCACAACTAACCACTGTGGGTAAACGATGTTGCTTGTGGATCCAGGATCTCTGTACAGACCTCCACAATTTTGAACGTGTACGAGATGAATTGAGATTTCGTGGTGTGAAAGGTACAACTGGCACCCAGGCAAGCTTCTTGCAGCTCTTTGGAGGAGATCATGATAAAGTAAGTGTCCTCAGTAGTTTTCAGTTGTAATTTTTGGGGGACCACTTAATATTTTATCAATTTATTAGAATTAATTATAGGCTGCCTTTTCAAATGAATATCCAGTCAAAGCAGCCATCCAAAAAAGCTGCTAAAAAGTAAAACAAGAGAAACAGTAAGGAACATGACCTTAAAATGGCATTCACAATATTCCAAAGGATTTACATTGGGAAAGGAACAAGATGAACCTTCTTCCGGTTTAAGCTAGAATAAAATGTTCATGGATCCTAGAAGAATTACGTTACTTGAGGGAGCAGAATTAAAGATATCAGGCAAGATAGCATTTACATCAGCATAACACACTGGGCTTAGAGTGGTGTTTGCAGAGGAAATGTCTTCTGTAGCACAATCCATATCCCCATTTTGGTCATTCAATTCTGAGGTTCCTGTTTATTTTTCCCCTGAGGTGGAGGAGCTGGACAGGCTGGTGACTACAATGGCAGGATTTAAGCGGTATGTAAAACAAAAACCCTAACTCATCTCCCTTTTCCATAGTGCTGAAGATGTGCTAACAATGCATTTTTAGGAATGTAGGAAGCTGCTTTTATAGTCAAGCCTTTGGTCCATCCAATCCAGTAGTGTCTATACTGGCCAGCAGTATGTCTCAAGGTCTGAGACTGGATGGTCCTGTCCTGTCTTGGAGGGGTGTGAAATTGAACTTGAGACCTTTTGTATGCAAAGCATGTGCACTACCTTCTGCGTTCTTAGTACAAGCAGTTCTGTGATCTTGCGTATCAATTCAAAATCCACTCTGCAAATAATATTCATATTGCTGAAGCTAACAGTTGAGACCTATTAAGGAAAAGGTGTGCTTCTGACATCGGCTTCATAATGCAGGTGTACTTCCTCACATTTTAGTGCTGCTCTTCAAACAAACTTAGGGTCAAGGAACCACTGAATATGTGATATTCATGCATTGTTGCATGCTCACTTGGCTCTGCTGAATTTCATGATACTTCATTTTTGTGTTTGATACCAGGACTTATATTGTAACAGGACAGACATACAGTCGCAAAGTGGACATTGAAGTCTTGTCTGTTCTGGCAAGTCTAGGAGCATCTATACATAAGGTAAGGAGTACTTTGACCTCCATTTGCAAAAGCGTGTCTTGAGAAAAAGGAATTGCTAACCTGAATTGCACAGGAGCATAAATCACTCATCTGAGTGTTTTCAAACTGATATAACTAAGGCTCCTTAGCTTAACTCCAGCATCTAGAAACATAAATCTCAGGGTTTTTTCTTCATTGTTTAACTCAGATTTGTCTGGGAGATCTCATGTTGAATTATAAGTGGATGCAAGGATGACAGTAAATTTATGGAAAAATCTTAAGGATCAAAATAGAAGTCAGAGGCTTGCTTTTATAACCAGTTCTACTTTAGGGCCACTCTGATGTTGGCAAGAACTTATCTCTTTTCTTAGCATATTTATTTATCTGTCTATCTATCTGGGTATTTTTATCCCACCCAATTATGTTGCATGTCTCTGGATGACTTACAAACAGAACACCCAATAAATACATATAAACCCATAATAATCCACAACTGAGCATAAAACATAGTTAAAATATTTAAACATTAAAATTACGGGAAAATAAAAATGTTTTGACCTGGTGCCAGAAAGCATATTATGTTAGTTCCAGACGGACCTCTCTTGAGAGCACATTCCATGCATAGCATCTTGCAGAGTCACTAGGTGAGCCAAATTCGACAGGTATCAAATTCTTCCAGGTTTACCACTGAAATTAGAACCATGGTAAATACTGAAATTAGACTTGGGTGCTACCAGTTTCTGTCCACTGAGCTCAAAGGATGATGCACACTTCTGTTGCAGTTTGCTTAAGAAGACATTAAAATCTGAACACATCCATTTTAAGTATCAGTACACACAGTCTACTCAGAAATTCACCCAAATAAATTTTAAAAGCAAGTTAAAATGCCTTACACTTGCTCTGGCTGATCAAACAAAAAAGCAGATATATCTTTCGTGGCAACCAGAGACCATGGTACCAGGCTGTATGTGTGGGTTAGGCATCAAATGTCCTCTCTACCCTCCTGGCAGAAGATAGAGAATGGAGTACAGGTAGCATAGTGTGCCTTTTCCCAGCTAGATCCCCTTAGCAGAAGACTAGGTTGGGTCTTGCCTCTAAAATTGGCACAGTAGGATAACCCACTTGACATCATCAGGTGGAGTGAAGCCAAAACCAATCAATGTAAATCAAGACCAGCATGCAAATTTCCCCTAATAAGGAAGGCACATTGAGTGAAAAAAAGTCTGAAATAGATTTTTTAAATGTTTATGTAAATTCTGTACATTAAGATGTGGGAGCCCTAGCTCTGTGAAAGTTTAATATAATTTCAAAGTAGATGAGATCCAGTGCAGCGTAGGGCCACAAGGTTGGTGGCCGGTTTGCAGGGGATGGGTATGAGGCGAGACTGAGGGAACTGGGTCTCTTCAGCCTGGAGAAGAGGAGACTCAGAGGGGATCTGTTGGCGACATACAGTATGTGAGGGGGTGTCACATGGAGGTGGGTAGACACCTGTTCTCCCCTCCAGAGGAGGGCAGGACACGCTTCAACAGAGTGAAGCTCAGGGAACCAAGGTTGAATTTAGATGCCAGGAAGTCCTTCCTGACATTAGGACCCTAAGGGTATGGAATGTGCTTCCACGGGAGGTGGTTGACGCCCCATTGCCAAGAGTGTTCAAGGACAGGCTAAACATGCACATGGTGGGCATGTCGTGAGTCGAGCCGGCTAGAGCCAGGGGTCAGACTAGATGGCCCAGGTGACCCCTTCTGACTCACTCTGTTTCTATGTTTCTAAATGCATATGTTTTGGTAGGATGTTCCTTTTCAAGTTTTTCCATTTCTTTTAAAATAAATGAGGTATCACAGGTGATTGAACGAATTCTTTGTAAACTGTGGTTACAATCCTATACGTATTTATGAGTCCCATCAAGGGGGCTTACTTCTAAGTAGATATGCACAGAATTGCACTGTCAGTCCTTTAATGGGAAATCTTAAAGCAAAAGAATCTTAATGTGTGAATGTTAAAATAAATTAGATTCTTTTTTTTCTCAGTAGTTAGTAAAGAAGGCCAGTTCCAAAATTTCTGATGAATGCAAATGTAATTTAAGAATTCTGCATGAACTGACTCTTGCTTTTTTTTTTTTTTTTTAAGATATGTACTGATATTCGCCTTCTGGCTAACCTCAAGGAAATAGAAGAACCTTTTGAGAAAGAACAAATTGGTAAGCTATGGTGTATAAGTGGGATTTTGCTCTGTTTATTCACTTTAACCTGTTTTGATCACCCCAGCCTTTACTTTTGCAACACTTATAAGATCTTGCACATATTTTAAGGTTTAAATGATGAAAAATTAAATAATAGTATCCACTACATGTATGTAACTGACATTGAAATTAGTTGGAAAGGAAATACACACAGAACACCCACTGAAATTATATGGAACATTATTAAATTTCCAAAGCTATCAAAAAGTGGCCACAGGATTGGAAAAGGTCAGTTTACATTCCGATCTCAAAGAAGGGCAATGCCAAAGAATGTTCAAACTACCACACCATTGCACTCATTTCACATGCTAGCAAAGTGATGCTCAAAATCCTACAAGCTAGGCTCCAGCAGTATGTGGACCGAGAACTACCAGAAGTACAGAAAAGATTTCGAAGAGGGAGAGGAACTAGAGATCAAATTGCCAACATATGCTGGATCATGGAGAAAGCTAGGGAGTTCCAGAAAAACATCTACTTCTGCTTCATTGACTATGCTAAAGCCTTTGATTGTGTGGATCACAACAAATTGTGGCAAGTTCTTAGAGAGATGGGAAAACCAGACCATCTTATTTGTCTCTTGAGAAACCTATATGTGGGTCAAGAAGCAACAGTGAGAACTGGACATGGAACCACTGATTGGTTCAAAAAATGAGAAAGGAGTTCGGCAAGGCTGTATACTGTCGCCCTGACTGTTTAACTTACATGCAGAGCACATCATGAGAAAGGTGGAGCTAGATGAATCACCAGTTGGAATTAAGATTGCTGGGAGAAATATCAACAACCTCAGATATGCAGATGATACCACTCTCATGGCAGAAAGTGAAGAGGAACTAAAGAGCCTATTGATGCGGGTGAAGGAGGAGAGTGCGAAAGTTGGCTTGAAACTCAACATTAAGAAAACTAAGATCATGGCATCCGGTCCTCTCACTTCCTGGGAAATAGATGGGGAAGAAATGGAGGTAGTGACAGATTTTATTTTCCTGGGCTCCAAGATCACTGCAAATGGGGACTGCAGCCAAGAAATTAAAAGACACTTGCTCCTGGGGAGGAAAGCTATGGCAAATCTAGACAGCATACTAAAAAGCAGAGACATCACCCTGCCAACAAAAGTGCGTATAGTCAAGGCTATAGTTTTCCCAGTTGCAATGTATGGCTGTGAAAATTGGACCATAAGGAAGGCTGAGCACCAAAGAACTGAGGCCTTTGAATTGTGGTGCTGGAGGAGACTCCTGCGAGTCCCTTGGACCGCAAGGTGATCATACCGGTCAGTCCTAGAGGAGATCAACCCTGACTGCTCTTTAGAAGGCCAGATACTGAAGATGAAACTCAAATACTTTGGCCACCTAATGAGATGGAAGGACTCCCTGGAGAAGAGCCTAATGCTGGGAACAATAGATGGCAAAAGAAGAAGGGGACGGCAGAGGATGAGGTGGCTAGATGGAGGCACTGAAGCAGTCGCTGTGAGCTTGGGTGGACTCCGGGGGATGGTGGAGGACAGGAAGGCCTGGAGGAGTGTTGTCCATGGGGTCACGATGGGTCGGACACGACTTCACGACTAACAACAATGCTATCACTTTACAAGTGATTGCTTGTCTCTCCCCAAATAGGCCAGAGTACTCAGTTTGTAAGTAACAACAAAGAAACCATGAGTGAAAGGTCACTTGCAGGAGAGCCAAGTGAAAATGATCAGACGGTGTGCACCAGCATGCTGCTCAGGCACAATAAGCTAGGGTTCCCTGAAATGGTCATTTGAAATGTGAAATCATGCTTCAGTGCCATGACAATAAGTGTTCAAGGAACTTGGGCTTCCATGCTTCTTCCCTTTCAGCACAGTGCAGTGCTTCCCCATTTTGTATCCTGGAAAACTGTTTTGTCCTTGTGGCTCAGGCCAAGATTTAAAAGCCATAGTTTGGTCACATTGCCTAAAGCCTAGAAAAGAAAGAAGAAATCCCTGTGTTTGAGGCAAGGATAATCAAACCTTTGTCTTTATAACACAAATCGCATCTAAACAGCCACATAGGTTATATACTTCTATTTCAGTTTGATATTAAGGCCCCAGGTGTGGTGCCACTTGTTGAAGGTATGGTTATAGACACACATGTACACTCTGCATCCAAGCAGTGCAGCTGTAGATGGTTGCAGTGGTTTGGAGGCTTTAACAAACCCTTTCAGAATCCATCCCTGTAGCATCCATGAACTTCTGTTCATGCTCAGCCCCGTCCTGCAAAGCAACATGAGCCAAGAGGAAGTCCACAAACACTTGCAGGCTCTCAGCTGTGCAAGTGGCAACCTTCCCAGCAGCTGGATGTGAAAGAGAGGTCCTATGAGCAGGTGCCATTCTGAACAACCAACCTTCTTCCCTGGGTAAGCAGTGTCCCAGCAGCAGGTGCTAAAATGAAACCGTGCTTGTGCAGCGTGTGGGCTCCGTTCCTGGAAAGCACCCCACAAATCCTGGGAGCACTTGCCAGAATTTCAGACCCCGGGACACTGCAAAGCAGACTACAGCCTGGGCTGCCAAGCTCTGGGAATCCAACAGATTCCCAGCCCCAGATGGATTCCTTGCACATTGCTAGCTTTCGCTTCATCCCCATCGCATCAACTCATCATATTGACCAAATCTCAACACATTTTTGTGTGCAAGCTGTGCTTTTTATTTAAAGTTCTTGTATACTAACAAGGATTATTTTCTGAAGAGTTAAGTAGTTTCTTTCAGTGAGAGAGAATTTTAAGGAATAGTATGTTAACACCTGATTTTTAAACTTCTACTCCCTTACTTTACCTCTGCATACTCTTCCCTCCTATGTTGCCCACTTTCCTGCCTTTGTACAGGTTCAAGTGCCATGGCTTATAAACGCAATCCCATGCGTTCCGAGCGTTGTTGCAGTTTAGCTCGCCACCTTATGGTTCTGGTCCTGGATCCCCTTCAGACAGCTTCTGTGCAGTGGTTTGAGCGTACCCTGGATGATAGTGCAAACCGGTAAATTCATCGTTTTTATGAATATGAAGTAAAAAAAATAAAGTTAAAGAAAGAACCAATGTGACTATAATGCTGTGTTACACACCGCAACACACTTACTTGGACAGCATTTAGAAATAAAGTACACAAAAATAGGCTGAGCAAAACAGGTAAGAACAAACATTCCAAAGTATAACAAAGGAAATTAAAATGAAAATGGTTATAACTGAAGTTAATATAAATAGAGAACAAGCATAGCTGTATAAGATTATTATTATAATTATTATTTTATTAATTATTATTCCTACATTGATTGTATGCATATGTAGTCAGAAGTTAAATCTCTTAAGTGCAATAGGACTTACTCACAGGTAAATGTACATAAGATCATAGGCCAAGTCTCCTTGATTTCAGTGGAACCCTTTTCCAGGCAAACTAGCTTTTCGGGGGGTGGGGGGGGGTCCTGAGAAACTGGATGATAACCTATTAGAAGTACTGTAATAGACAGAGGAATTGTTTTGGGTACCCTTCCAACTCAATTTCAACATGTTACCTAATGTATTTTGAAGTAAAACTATGGATTCCAAACTACAGTCTAAGGATGCTTGAAACATATGTCCAAAAAAGAAAGTTATTAAATGAAATTGATAATGAACACTCCATTGTTCACAATGGTTGACAAATTGCAGAACAAAATTTGTAAGAGTGCAGCCCAGTAAAATATTCTTTAAAACTCTGGCTGCTGGGAAAAATATGAAGAGTAAGGGGAGATATTAATAGCAAACAAATTAATAAGGAAAAACTAAGTGATACTGAGTTATTAAAAATACTAATTTGTATAAGAACATTGCAGCATTTTCCCATCATCCAGATAATCTTGTGATTTTTATCCTACAGGCGTGTGTGTTTAGCTGAGGCCTTCCTCACTGCTGACATAATACTCAGCACCTTGCAAAATATCTCTGAAGGTCTTGTTGTGTACCCCAAGGTAAGAAGAAAAAGTGAAAACTCACTTTTACAGTTCTGTTTTTTTAATAATTCTGAGGAAACGTAGGGTTCCTTGGAAACTCAACACAGATTTCTTACAGTTGAGTTTCCGTTACTGCAATGGCAGAGAAGCATTACCAAAAGGCAGCTTGTTTCCCATTAACAGTCTTCTCTTACAGTGTACAAGCATTGGGTAATGGATATGCTGTAGGGTGTACTGCCAGTTAACATAGAATTTTATTTATTGCACTTGTATGCCACGCCTCTTAGCCAAAGACTCTCAGGGCAGCCTACATAACAATGACAGTGATAGAAACATAGAAACAGAGCGAGTCAGAAGGGGCCTCCTGGGCCATCTAGTCTGACCTCCGGCACCAGGCGGCTCCGCTCACGACATGCCCACCATGTGCATGTCCAGCCTATCTTTGAACACCCGCACCGATGGGGCCTCAACAACCTGTCGTGGAAGCCCATTCCACACCCTCAGGGTCCTAACTGTCAGGAAGTGCTTTCTGGCATCTAAATGGAATCTTGGCTCCCTGAGCTTTGCTCCATTGGAGCGCGTCCTGCCCTCCTCTGGAGGGGAGAACAGGTCTCTACCCATCTCCGTGTGACATCCCCTCACATACCTGTATGTCGCCAACATATCCCCTCTGATTCTCCTCTTCTCCAGGCTGAAGAGACCCAGTTCCCTCAATCTCGCCTCATACCCCATCCCCTGCAAACCAGCCACCAACCTTGTGGCCCTACGCTTCACTGACTCTAACCTGGCTATATCCTTTCTGTAATGAGGGGACCAAAACTGAGCACAATGCTCCAGTTGCGGGCGCACCAGAGTTGTATAGAGTGGTAGTAATACCTCTCTTGATCTAGAAGCCACACTTCTGGCTATGCAACCAAGGGTGGCGTTCGCCCTCTTGACCACTGCATCACACTGCTGACTCATGTTTAGCCTGCAGTCAACCAGCACCCCGAGGTCCCTTTCACAAGTACTGCTCTCCAGCCACTTGTCACCTAACCTGTACTTATGACAGCTATTCCTGTGCCCCAAGTGCAAGACCTTGCACTTATCCAGATTGAACGCCATCTTGTTGTCTCCTGCCCACTTCCATAGTCTGTCCAGATCCTTTTGGATCTGGAGTACCTGCTCCTCAGTTGTGGCCACTGCTCCAGTTTTAGTGTCGTCTGCAAATCTGATCAGCAGACTGTTCACCCCTTCTTCCATGTCATTAATGAAAAGATTAAACAGGATCAGCCCCAGGACAGAGCCCTGGGGGACCCTGCTTGTCACTGGCCGCCCTCCCGAAGATTCCCCACTAATGGTTACCTTCTGCTTTCGGTCAGTCAACCATGCCCTAATCCACCGGACAGTGCTTTGGTGTATCCCAAAACTCCTCAGTTTCTCCACCAGGATATCATGGGGCACTTTGTCAAAGGCCTTGCTGAAATCCAGATATACCACAGCGACTGCATCCCCTCCATCTAGCCATCTCGAAACCTTGTCATAGAATTCCACAAGGTTTGTCTGGCAGGACCTGTTTTTGCGGAAGCCGTGCTGTGTGGCTGTCAGCCTCCCTTCCCTATCTAGCATCACTAGATTTCATCACCACTAGATGATGACCAGCAGTCATGGCCAGCATCTGAGGTAAATGATGCATAAACCTAAATAAACTTGCATATTCCTCTGCAACATGCAGGGGTTCCTTGCAAGACATGGAGAGAATTGTCTAAGAACAAACATTTGCAAAACTCTGCTGTGTTCTAGCATGCCCAGCACTGGATTTGTAGAAAGGTTTTAAAACAACCCCATTCATATTTAAATTACAGTTGCCTGAGTAGTGGTAGTTATAGGGGTGGGCTTAAAAGACCATAAATGCTACTGAGTGGACATCAGGATAGGGGCAACCATCATTTTGATCATTACAAACCATCATGAGATTATCTAGAATAAATGACAGTATGGAAAAGTCTTAAATAAAAGGAGAGCTAGGAAAATAAGTTTGGGCCCAGGGGTTATTTTACATATTATTGCTAGTTATTTAATAGAGTCTAGCCTGCTTTTCATGTGAAAACCCTCACAAAAAGAATTTCAACATACTTTAAAATATAAATGATCAACTATATAAAAGTAATGATCAGAAAATAAATAATTAATGTAACTAATAAGCTAGCAGGATAAATAGTTGCTGCATGACAATTCTGAAAAGTGTATACTTAATATGTACAAGCATAACATTATCTGAATGGTGGCAAGTGCTTTGGAAGCAAATTTACCATGTTACAGTCAAAGAAATCATTTTCTAGGCCTGTAGTCAAGAAAATCAAACAGTTCTGCAAATATACAACTGCACACATTGCTGGTTGTTTAGCACCTGTGATGTACAAATCAATAGGTATAGCCTGCATTGGTTAAATCATGCAATCATTGACATATAACCAGGCCTGAGAAAAACGCTCTTTTCTAGAAATCAGCTTGTGTGCATCCTTGAAATGTAGCTGACATTAACCAGGCACCAGTCCTGAGAAAGCTAGCTGGCACTTGACAGATAACAGCAGCACAAACAAAGGGCAATTCACACAAGCCCACCCCATCCGCCTCTTCATCTATGTAATAGCACCCCATCCTCCCTGCTCCTTCAGAGCATCTTCTTTGGTATGCAAGTGGGAAAGATCACGCCATTGTAACTTTTACTTCTGTAACTTACTGGAAAGTGTTAACTGTGTTACACGTAACCCTTTAATGATCAATGAATAATAGGGCCAACTGAGGACTGCTCAGGTGCACCATCTGGAACAATTCATTGGTTGCTGGTTATTCTCAAGAATAAATCTTTTAAAAGAAAACCTTCCCCTGTTGTGTATTTTTGGCATACACACACCAGGACATGGACCATTTAGTCCACACCTGTAATATCCTGAACCCAACTCCAGAGTAGTTTTGCTGTTCTTATTAAATTGATCATGTTTATATGTGTGCATGTTTAAATGAATAAATGCATATGAGGCTTTAAAAAATTAAATTTCAAATATAGCACGCACCTGAAGCATGAGGCTAAGACTGAGAACTGAAGCAGTATTTGATTCGCTGTTTAGTATATGTGTCATTTTACATTGTGAAGGTGGGAGGAAAACATCCACTGTGTCTTCCTGTTTTAAACACTGTGTCCATAAGGAAACCATTACTGTTTCTTCTGTTCTCTTCTAAGCCACCACCATTATGGAATGTTTTGAAACAAGATCTTTAAAAATTTGCTATAAAATATGTACATTTGAGTTCAAGATTATGCTGTCCAGCAACACAGGAAGCTGTCTTCTACAAAATCAGAATTTGTCACTGTCAGTTGTCTGTCCAGCCCAGCAGTGCTCACACAAACTGGCAGCAGCTCTCTGGCATCTGGGGCAGCAGAGATCTGCTACTAACCTGCAGTTGTCTCCCTGTAAAGCAGGTGTTTTACCACCAAATAATGGTTCCTCCCCCAAGTAATGAAGAGTAGCAGAGAAATGGAATTGCCCAATCCAACATAAACTTACTATCTCTTGATGGCTACTTTAGGTAATCGCAAGACGTATACAACAGGAGTTGCCTTTCATGTCCACAGAAAATATTATCATGGCTATGGTAAAAGCTGGAGGCAATCGCCAGGTATGTACCTAAACACAGACTCTTATTCAGAAGCCCCTAAAAAGCATGAATTAGGATTATAAAAAGATAATGAAATCATTATTTTGGAATTGTTATTCTTAGTCCATTTCTTTTATCTGAATCTCCACAAGTTGTAAAGAACAACTGCAGAATTCTTAATTTTTGCAAGTTCATCCTCCTGGGAAGTCATTAATGTTCTTATATATTAGTAACAAACAGATCCATCTTTGCACAGGTGAGAATAGTCCATATATTGAGGCAGAAAGGACATTTGAGGACCACAAACCTATATTGCTTTAAACCATATTTTGAAAATGAGAGGAAGTTGTATAACAGGAGCAAAAGCTTGGCATGTGGTTGCTGTGTTTAGGAGGCATTGTATCCCTAAAATTTAAATGTCACAGATTTCCCAGATCTGTCACATTTTTTTTCTGGGCAGCTTTCCGTACAATGATTTCTTCATTTCTCCCTTCCTGTAAGGCAAGCAGATGGAACTCTGCCCAGCAGCTTAATGTGGCTTGCCCTGCTCCTCTCCGCAGCTTGCAGGGTTCTTCTAGATGGGCAACACCCCATTCTCTTCACCACACTGCCTTGCTTTTGATCTTACCCAATTTTTCATTTCTTGGCTGCTGGCAAAATCTGTTCTTTTCCCACATATTTTGGCTTCCTCGTTGCTTCTAAATAACCTTCAATTCATTTGCGAAGCACTTATGATTCACTAGTGCTAAGCAAGGCATTTCAAACAGCTAACTGCCTAGATTAACAAGAGCTACTCCTATTCTTCTAGAAGCCTTCATTTGCTCTTGACAGACATTTGTGCTAATTCTAAACTTATTTGCTATTTGAATCACTGTCTGGAGGACTGGTTAGTTCTGGACAGCTCTTGGGAGCAGGAATAAAAAGCAGCATAACTGTGGAATTCATTATTCTGCTTTGAAGCTGATGCTTAGTGACAGCTAAAGTCTACTTGTTGATGCTTCCGTTAGGACACATCACTAAAAATCATATTATGCTGCTGTATGCTATGCCTGTATTCTAAATAGGACTATAAATTTCATTTTCCTCAAATAACTTTACTTGATTTGAGGTTGGTATTTAGACATTTTCTGGGTGACAGAAGGGGTTGCAGATATTTGAAAATGCAGCGCAGAATATTATTTGTGTCTCGAATTTCTGGATGGTATTCATGCTTACTTAATTCAGATGGCATGGTGAATAACTTCTGATAGCAAGAGGGCTGCAGGTAAATGAAACTCAGTCTTTTATTGTGGCTTGTAACTTGTATCTTGATGTGCTCTTTCTGTGGCCTGTGAACATGCAAATGAGCTCAGCTGGATTCAGTGGAACTTACATGTATAGGATTGTGCTGAGCTTTTCAGAGTGGCACATCTACTTTTGGCTCCATCCACTGCTGAAATGCACCCCCCGCCCAGACGTTTAGCTTGTTTCCTGATATATTAGTAATGTATTTTCTCTCTTAGGATTGTCATGAGAAAATACGGGTACTGTCTCAACAAGCAGCTGCTGTTGTGAAGCAAGAAGGGGGTGATAATGATCTCATTGAACGTATTCGTGCCGATCCCTATTTCAGTCCTATCCATGGGCAGCTGGAAACTCTCTTAGATCCCACATCATTTACTGGCCGTGCACCTCAACAGGTAAGGCAACCCCCTCCCATGCCAAAAAAGATTGAAGACCTTATAATGTTGCTATGCACTCTAGTTGTCCTAAAGCAGAGCTGAGGAACTTGTGTCTTTCCAGCCTGGCCAATGGTGAGGGATGCTGTGGGTAGTAATTCACATCAACAGGCATGGCCATTTCCTCCTTTGTCTTCTGTTGCACCCATTTTAATAATCCATTTGATACAGGAGATGCTTGGCTATTAGGCCATATAGAAATATAATAAATACATGTGTTGCTGGTTTTTCCCCTTTCTGCCATACCTGGACCAGCCTTTCCTCCCTACTCAGTTAAGCTGTTTTCTTCACCCGTTTCTTACTTCTCCTAAACTGTTTCTGACTTTTTATTCAAAATGGCCTGTCCCATCCTGTCTTACTGGTTTAATGTGGTTTGGGAGCTCTGTAGATTGGATCAGTCAATTCCTTGTGTACAATGCCAAGTACATTGTTAATCTTGGGTAAACATTCTTCAACAGGAGCAGTCTGAGCTAAATTTTTGGCTTATCTCTTGAACTTGAAAGAATTGTACTATTGCCATTTCCTCTTAGCTGTTAACTGTGAGACTTTGGGCAGTGACAAATCTGCACATTCATTTCTGTCCCATTGCCTCTTCTTCCTGTACATTTTGATCCAAGCCTTTCTAGCTTATTTGGCACTGTGTAAAACAAAGTAGTTAATATACTAAGGCTAATGCGTACTTGATCCAGATCATTGTTCTAAGCCTTTTTTCCTCCCTTCTCGCACAACAGGTGGCAAGATTCTTGAAAGAAGAAGTCCACCCAGTGCTTACCCCTTATCAGAGCAAGATGGGTGTAAAAATGGAACTGTCTATTTGAATTGGTGTTTTCATTTAGGTATGGGCAGAAAAGATAATAAACAGTTTCAAAATACCTATATCTGAAGTCAAAATACCTACATCTGCAGCATATGTGGAAATTATATGGGCAGCTAACACTTCTGGAATATGAATGTGCCAAAGAATACACCAGTGAATTAATACTTGAACTGTGATTATAATTCATATGCTCACACCCTTACCTGGAAAACAAACCCCAAACATTTTGCAACTGCAGTTGTCAGCCAAAATAACAGAACCTATAAAATACTGTGCAGTTTCCCTAGGTATGTTGTGTTCAACTTCTTGGTGACAAAATGGACATGGCTGAGACATGCAGAGATATGAAGTCTGCTTAGAAAGATTGAAGGGCTTCAAGGAGTTCATGCAAGCAAATGGTTTTCTAGATTTACTAAAACACCACCAAGACAATTTAATATGACTGCTGGAACCACAGGATAGCACAGATCATTTCTGCATATGGAAAAAGAGATCTAATCTACTTGCTGATGTGGAAACTATCTCTGTTCCTCCACCCATAGTACTTCAGTGGCAGAAGCAGGAATAAGGAAGTCCATGGTGGATCTGGGCAGTCTGAGGACCTTCAGTACATCCCCAAAACTGGGGAAACATACACAACCCTAGATATGGTGTACTTATTTTCCTTCCAGTTGCACTGCCTCCCTTTTGCCCTGCTGGCACAAACCTGGCAGAGTTTGGAATATGAAGGTTCCTACACCTTAGATTCTCCCTCCTCCTGCCCTCTTTGGATTGTGATAAAGTGATCAGTGTTCCTGATGAGGAACCTGACTAATAGCAGCCTTGCATTATAAATTAAGCAACCCTCAGAAACATTGAGGGAAAAATTAAAGATACAAAGATTTTAAAACTGAATTTTATTTTTTTATTCATTAGATTTACATCCCACTTTTGTTTTTCTTAAAGAACTCATCGTGGCTTACATCATTCTCCTCCTTTCAGTCTTATCCCCACATCAACAATCCAGTGAGGAAGACTGAACTGAGAGCCTGTAACTGGTCCAAAGCCATCCACTTTGCTTGATAGCTGAGCAGGGACTAGAACCCTGAGTCCCAGTCCCATGTTCTTAACTACTACACCACATGGGCTCTGTTTTAGTTCTGTCATGCAAGCTACCTAAATACATAATAGTATTTATCTGAAAATGAAAATAAACCCTTGAGAACAAGTAATGAAGGCAAGAAAAGAATCAAAGATTTCAACCTTCTCAACAAATTGAGAAGTTTGGATGTTTGGATTAACATTCAATTAAGTTTTAATGTAATGTCCCAGAAAACCTTTACTTTTGCCCACTTTACCCACTTTTTCCAATTCTACAATATCCTTTTTTTTTTTTTAGGGGTGGCCTACCCAAACTACACACAGTATTCTAAGCACCATACGTTTCTATCAGCATGGTATGATATGGGTAGTTTTATTTTAGTTCCTTTCCTAATTATGGCTAACATGGAGTCTCTCCTTTTCACAGCAGCCACACACTCAAGCTTTTCATAAAGCTGACCACCACAACACCAAGTCAGTTTCTAAGTCAGTTTCTAAAATGAGCTGTTCCAACCTCTCCTACAGCGGAAGCCCTGATCTCTGCCATCACTGATTTCAGGAGCCTGAGCTCATTACTCAGATTTTTATACATATATCTTCAGTCGCATTCTTCATCATACTTAGAAAAAAGGCGAGTGTGTATGGGGGGGAAGGGGACATGGTAGAGGAGTTTAAAATCATGCATGGTATTAGAGAAGGAGACATTTTTCTCCCTCTCCCATAATACAAACCCAGGGTCATCCCACAAAATTGGTGCTGGTTCAGGACAGATTATACTTAAGTTGAAGAATATCCTGGCACTGGAGGTGATGATGGCTGCCAATCTGGATGGCTTTAAGAATGGATTTGACAGATTCATGAAGGAGAAGGTCATCAGTGGCTACTAGCCTTGGTGGTTATGTACACGACCTTTATCTGAGACAGCATACCTACATACGCCAGTTGTTGTTGAGCTTGGGCTGCGGACATCTTAGAAACATAGAAACAGAGAGTCAGAAGGGGCCTCCCGGGCCATCTAGTCTGACCTCCGGCACCAGGTGACTCCGCTCACGACATGCCCATCATGTGCATGTCCAGCCTATCTTTGAACACCGCACCGATGGGGCCTCAACGACCTCTTGTGGAAGCCTATTCCACACCCTCGGGGTCTTGCACCCATTCTGCTTGAGCAATCCTATAGGCAGCTGGTTTGTTGCCATGTGTATGGAATACTGGACTAGATGGACCTTTGGTCTGATCCAGCATGGATTTTCTTATGTTCTTATAATGTTTCTGAGTATGGTTGAGGACTGCTACTGAAGACAAGCATGGGATCTATAGATTGTATATGGCTCCATCAAGAAGCAACACTGAGATGTGTGGCTTTCTCACACCCTCTAAGAAGCCTTCCCCAACCTGGTGACCTTCAGAGGCATTTGGACTGCACCTTGCACAATTCCCATCCAGCAGGGCCATTTACTGGGAATTTTGGGTATCTGGAAGGTGTAAGGTTGGGAAGGCTACAGTGAGATGCCATATTTATTTTGAAGGGCCTGCAGGGATCACCAGCAAGTATAGAAAAAACAATCCCAGGCCATAGATCTACCAAAAGGAACATGCGCGAATGACCTCAGAAACACAGCAGCCAGGTTTGGCATGCAAGTTGTTTATTAAAAAGTTAGAAAAAGAATTGATTTGCTGCCCCTCCCCACCAATTTTACAGCATGCAAATGTTACTGGTGCACAAGGTGTCTGCAATCAGGGTGTGGTTTGGAGTGGACGTGGAATTTAAGGCAGCACAACAGCCTGAACTAAGTTTATCTTGCTGCCACTTGTATAGAGGATTTTGTTCATTTTTTAGCTTGATAAACAGCCAACAGAAAACGATGGGAAGGAAGGTATAATTTCCACTGCACCAAGTACTTTTTAAAAATCTTGATTGTTGTGCAAAAGCGTGGATACTGTTCATTAGATGTCGTTTAGTAGATAATACTGAACTACATTGCAAGGCAGTTGTAAACGACTCCCTCCTAACTTAAGCTCACATTGTAATATGGGAATATCACGACAGCTTTGCTGCAAAGCAGTCTTTCAGCTTCCCTTTGAACCTGCTGCATTAATGGTGAGCTACACTACAGAGCTACACAATATCATAAGCCACAATTTCTGAGCAGCCCCGCTCCCCAAGTGTGCAGCATGGCGGCTATAGCAGTAAGATACATCGCACGGATGTTTGCCACGGCCACTGCGCAATTTTGGGAGTCAAGTGACTTTTTAAATCTAAACATGCACAGGATTGGGTCTTTGTAAGATGTTATGGTACCCAATAGCCGAAGATCTCTTAGCAGTTCACAAATCCTAAAACCATAAAATATTGGCACTAAACATAACACGTAAGACTGAATCTGCAGCTTAATGTTTAAATTCTAAGATTAAAAACGTTATTTCACACAGGAAATAAGACAAGAATTAGAAAAAGCATAAACTCCTACCTTTGATTTTCCCTTTGGGGGGGGGGATAAGTAGCGCGGGAGAGACTGCGCTACTGATCCCACTTAACACTAGAGTCTGGGATTCCCCATTCTTTTGTATGGACAGCTGTCACCCTTGAGGGGCGAGGGGAAATTGTTTAAAAAATCACCGAGATGCCCTATTTATATGTTTAGAAATTACCTGCCTAATTCCCCCCTTTAAAACCCAGGTTTAGAATTACTCAGAAACTACGGCTCCCGTAGTGCTTTGCGCCTCTTTCTTCCCTCCTCTCGGGAGTTGCGCATGCGTCATGGGTCAGGTAGCGCTGACAAGAACGAGATGAGGGGAGAAGCCTGAAGCGGTGTACGAAGGTAGGTGCTTGCTCCGAATTATTGAGGTGGGTGCGCGCGAGGGAGGAGCGGAATGCGATCCCCTTCAACGCGATGGCAGAAGGCGTAGGCGGTAGCGAGCGAATAGAGAGGGTGTTTCGTGTGGATAGAGTGGTGTGAACCGCTAAGGCGGTGACCATTGAGAAGTGAAACAGACGGACAGACGTGACGGAGCGGGTTCTGGTTCGTGTATGAAGGAACTGAGGGCCAGACCCGCCCTCGCCGTGACAGGTTGAGGATGGAAAGCCGGAGAGTAAACAAAAGGATTGGCCAAGCAGATGGTTGGACGAGCTGCCAAAGGCAGGTGAGGCACAGGTGGGCGGAGTGAAGACTCATAAATGTGGGTTGGGGAGAGCGGCAGGCTGGGCATGGAGAGGAAGGGATCCTTCTCGCCCCTCATCCTCTGCGAAACTCACATTATTTAAACAATTACTAAGAGCCATTCTCAGGCCGGTCTGAAAGGAGACGACACTTTGCAAAGGTCTCAAGGAAAACTGGAGAGGAACTGAGAAGGATCCCATTCTGAGAAACAACTTCAGAATTGATTAGTAGGCACCGGGTCTAAAGGAAAATCGGCAAAACATTTCAGCATTCATTCATCTCTCCTCTCCAAAACAAAGCCTATCAACCCTACAGATAAAGCCGATACCAGTAAGAACAGCTATCCCTGAACCAGAATAAACCGCATCATAAGGTGTATGTGCCTTGTAATGAATGCTTTCACAAGGAAAAACTAAAATACCAGATAATAGTGAACAACTCTCCGGAACATTTCCTGTGACTGAATGTTAAGCAATGTCACAAGGGAAGGGGCCAAAGAGAAAGCTGGCTAGGGATGGAAAAGCTCCAAAATCTGCTGTTTATAACAGAATTAAGAAGGAACATAAGAGTTGTCATGCAGATTAGGCTGGAATGATTTTTTCCTGACTGAATTAACTTCCTTACACCATTTCTCTACTGGAACTTTGGGGTGTTCTTTGTTTTCTAATGAATCAACACAGCTATATATGATTTTTGAATATTCTACAATATATGAGATTGGAAGAAAAGTTTAAATAGGAGGTGGGTGACCAACTAAGAAAACTTTTATATTCCTATTATTGACTACATGACTCTGTTTGATTCTGCTACTTGAATACATGCATATTAATTTATTTGCATTACTGGGGATATTATACAGAGGAGAACAGAATGATGGGAAGCCTTGGTGTTTCCTAGGAGAAACACATGAGATATATAGTCATCATGTCATTGTAGTCCTTTATTTTGCACACACTCATGATGCCATTGATAGATTTCACAACATAAAATATTGTGTGCAGTGCTCCTTTCACATATAATAGTACTAGTATCATGTTCACTCTCATTTTCCTTGCTTCTTATCTATCTCCATCTACCTATTCTTCCTCTAATAATTTTTCTATCCTATTTAATTCTTTTAAATTGTAACTATTCCTTTTTCTAGAAGAGATATGTAGAACAGAAGCTTATGACAATGTATTTCTAGAACCAGGTTTGTATGTATTGCCATAGCAAGATATCCCATTCTCCATACATTTGGAGCTGTTCCAGATGTATTTGTACATCTGTGCATATTGGTGCTGATGAGGCATATTCTATTTTCACCCCCACAAACAATTTCCTAATTGCATGTGTTACTCCTACCTGGACTTTCCCAGAAATATCTCTTTGTGTTCTGCATCTAATATACAAATATGGAGAGGATCTGATCCTACCCTTGTTGAGGCTGTAGCTTAAGGTTTAGGATTTGTTAGAACCTTACACCCATGATATGACTCCTAATCAATTTATTTAGGAAACAGTTCAGATCAAAGGTACTGAAGTACAAGACTGATTATCTGTATATGATTATCTTAAACTAATGATTTGTGTATTGCAGTGAGAAAGAAGGAAAGGCAAAGTAATACCAGGTGCAGGTATAGATGGTAATCTAATTTTATGAAAAGTGCATGTTTCCCTTTAATCTGGAGTGATGCTTTTATATCTCATGGAAAACTTTCCTTGTTTGTTGTTTTCCTTTGTTTTTTCTAATGACTCACAGATTTTGTGGTTCTGCAATGTTGTGACTCACTTTTTAAAACTTTCATGGTTAAATTTAATTGGAGCTGTTCAGTGCCTGCTTTCTTCCATGATCTCTGTTTGCTTGAATTTAGCTAATTTGTTATGCATCCTAGACTTTCAAATATGTGGATTTTCTCCCTTCATCCATGCAAGGCCATCTTTTTTTGCCTCTGAAGTTGCTCAAGGTGAGTGACCAATCACCTTAGAAGCTCAGCCTTACGCATACAGTACTTACCTAGAGGTAAGTCCCATTGAGTTCAGTTGGATTTATTACCAATTAACCATACATGAGGCCATAAAATCTTATGTGATTAATCGAGCACAGGTCCAAATTAACTAAGTGGGACTTACTTCTAGGTAAATAAACAGCCTGATTGTGCAAAATAAACACCTAATCCTTTAGTCAGTGCAACTTTCTAAGAAAGTTTGGATTTGCTATGCTGGGTACATTTACTTGGGATTAAATCAGTAGAACTTTGTGGAATTTATTCCTGCGTAAATATGCCTAGACTTGAACGACATATATGTGTTCCTATAACACCACTGTTCTGTCTGCTTAATTTCAGTGGTATCTTTTTTGTGATACTTTTTTGTGATAAATTCAAATCTTCTAGGGAAAATGTACCAGAATTACTAAAAAACTTTTCTAAGCTCTAAGACTTCCACATATCTAAGATCAGATCTCAAAGATCTGTTAATGTTGTCTTTTTTACTCAAAGGTAAGGTTATTTGAATTTCAGCAGTTTAGTTTCTTTAGATTTCAAAATTTCAACCTTCAGTTTAATTGTTTAATACTTTGCTTTACAACATTCTATGATAGTGATATAGGGGAATATAAAGGCAACAAGTATTTTTTTCATGCTATGTAATTAGGCAAAATGAACCATATTTGGGTTAGAAGTTCTTTTTTAAGATTAATCTTTGGATTTAAAGGGTACTTTGCAGTTCAAAAAGCAATATTGAACTAATTTATATTACTCTGACACAATAATGCAAAAATCCTAGTTCAAACATTCAGTGTTGGCACTGAGGAATTTGTCATGGTTTTCAGCTTTTTGAAGGATTGGTTCTGTACACCTTAATTTAGATCATAGAAGCTGGAAATATTTTCTCAGTTATGTGCTGCTGCAAAGCTCAATGGTGCTTAAAAATGGTTTCTGTGTTTGGAGACAGAAGCTATTGCATGGCAGCTCAATTCCAAAACACAAATTAAATTATGTTCATTAAGGAATTCATAATGGAAGTAGAAACATTAGAAATAAGGAATTATACAGTGAGGTTGTGATAGGTAAGCTTGTCTTACCAATATACAATCAACATTTGCTAGTTTTGCTTTAATGAGAGCATTTTACATCAGAAATATGAAGATTACAAGGCTGTTCCCTGTTACAGAGAAAACTTGGGGCTGTAGTGAGCCAAGTTGTTGTGTGAACTACCCAGGGAGCTTTGACTATTGGGAGAGAAATGTAATAACCGCTTTTTGACAATAACTACATGAGGAGCTCCAGGGTCAAATCTCATCTCAGCCACAGGATCACAGAATGGCCTTGGACATTTATCAGCTTCAGTTCCTGAAAAAAGAAAAGAGTTGAGGGTTAAGTTTAATAGAAAATTCCTGCCAGAATAGACACATAGATAGTGAATATAATTTCATGAAGAAAGGTCAACTTTGAACATGCCAGGAAGCATTCTGTTCCATAGCCATTCTGCAGGTCTTCAAATTCTTCTTCCTTCAGTTAAAGACATGTAGAAAGGTAGCCATATTAGGTTGCTACAGCAAGTAAAGTATTGTGACACCTTAAAGACTAGCAGATTAACATTGGATCAGAGCCATGAAATCTTGAATCTAAGCAAAATGACTCTAGTCAGCCAAAGCTTTATGTCACAAGAAATCTTAGTTTTGAAGGTGTCATAAGACTATTTTGATTAGATAAGGACTAATTATCTTCTGTACAGCATTCTTAAGTTTGTCTCATTAATTAAGGGATTCTTATTGTGTCATTTGAAAGATCTAAACAAAAGAAGTTGTAAGTAGCACATCATTCTGTAAAAGCCCATAGAAAACAAGTTGCTTTATCAAATTAAATCACAGATTACATTTTTCTTGCCTCCATTGTCTTCTGTGTTGTGGCAAAATACCTCTTTCCTATACAATTCCACAATTAATATTTGCTTTAACAATGGAGGAGCACCCTCAGTTAAATGGACAAAAACATTCCTGAAGATGGGACAAATGTAAATAGAGAGAGTGACTTTGACTTTTCCTTGATTTAGCAGAACTTTATTTTTTACAACATGACACTTAACCATTACAAATTCCTAGTGTCAGTTTTAATAAGTTGTGTTGCTTGCATGGGCCTAGCTCACTTTAAGAAACATCTAAAGGGCTAAGGATTTTTAACATGTCTGTCTTGAGTCAGTTGCTTCTCTTTATAATGTATACTTTAGTGATATAATTTAGAATTATTTATTTTGATAAAAAATTCAGTCAGTGATCATCATATGTCCATGACAGAGTTTCATTGGCATAGGATGTTTCACCCACTCCTTCCTATGTGCACAGAGTGAGAAACTGATATCCAACTTGTTGGATAGACAAGTTGAGGGAGATCTGACCAAGTATTTTCATTCCCAGCTTCTCTGGAAATCTCTGCAGTATTATTTGCTCCATTACTTTGTACGTTCTCGTTAAGTTGTTTGTGCTACTCTTCCACTATTATTTTTGGTTACATTCACAGATTCTCATTAGCAAGTTCAGTTTGATCTTGCTAATAAATTGCCCATACCACTTTCCAATATTTTTATGTTACTTTGCCACCAAATATGTAAGAATTCCATGTTACTGTTATGCCATGCTAATTTTATTGCCTCCCTGGTTCTCTCCGCCTCTGTCATTATGAAAATGTTGTTATATACCATCAAGTTGTGTCTGATTAATGGCAACCCTATGAATGAAAGCCCTCCAAATTTACCTATGCATGATGTCCCTGCTTAGCTGTTCTAAATTCAGGGCAATGGCTTCCTTTGTGGAGTCAGTCAATCTCTTATTTGGTCTTCCTTTTCTTCTTTTGCATTTGACTTTCCCTAACATGATTGTCTTCTCCAGGGAGTTTTGCCTTTCCTGATGTGATGGAATTATTGCAAGAATGAAATGATCAAACATTTGATGCTTGTGTATTAGATGACCTCACAAATTTCTTGGCACATAAGCATTCATCACATAACTGGGGCTTGTTGGCAATTTTTGTAGCAAGTATTTGCCTCTCAAATACCATTGCTATTTGTTATTTTTGCAGTAGTGCATTGTGGTGGTTAGAATGTTTGACTGGGGACTTGGGAGAGCTCAGTTCTAGGCCCCACTAATCCATGAAGCTTACTGAGTGTCTGGGCCAGTCACAGATCCTCAGCCAAATCTACCTCACAGGGATGAGATTGAGAGCAGGAGGAAGAGAATAGTGTAAGCTGCTTCAAGTTCATAAGAAAAAAATGAAGTATAACTCTAACAAATAAATAAATAAATTCCAGGATATAAATGCAATATAATAATACAGCTGCTTTAGTGTGATGTGTTGTTTAATAATAATAATTTTGGTTTACCTTGGCTTTTAGTTTGGATCCAGGTACTAAAGATATTTCCATAGTAGTAGTACAGGTTAGGGTTAGGGTTAGAATCATCTGCCATTGCGGAAGTGAATTTAGATATGCAATGGCATATAGATAGGCAGGGAGACTTTGGCATCAATGCCCAGTAATGTCCTTGATTTTTAATGGTGTGATTTAAGATTTATTTATTTATTTATTTATTTATTAAAACATTTTTATGCCGCCCCATTCGCCGAAGCCTCGGGGCGGCTTACAACAATAGGGCGGCTTACAACAACAATTTGACTTTGTAAAAAATTGAAGAGATGTTTTCCTGTGCTCTGAGTTGTGAAAAAAGAGAGAAAAGAAACAACATAAATATTTAATAGATTTATGAAATCACTAGCATTATTTTAATGGAAGAAACACAGTCCTGAGTTACAGAACAGCTCTGCATGAAAAATGAGTTGTTGGTATATTTGTGATGAAATCACAAATCTCTATCTTAGCTCTTTCAACATATTGCCCCCTAGGGCATCAGGTGTGATTCATCCATCCTGTACAACTGTCCTCTAGCACTGTTGTGTTTTCATGCATCTGTCCCTCTCTATGCCAGGTCTCAAAAGCTATTGCCAGAGAATGTTCCATAGCAAACAAAGGGTGGAAAAACTTGTCCATCTAGTTCAGTGTATTTAATATTTAGCTATTTAAGGCTATGTTTAGTGAGCTGTTTGGACATAGATAGGAGTGGGGACTGGACAACACATAAATCATGGTTGCCTATTCTTCAAGTGGCTTATTCTCTCATAACTGGCAGACTTATTCTCTTATAACTGTTTTCTTATTTTCATGGAAAGGATTTTAGCATTAGGAATCTTTCTTATACTTATCCACATTCCATATTATACATCTGATGGAAGAACCTCTACTCTCTGACAGTGTATGTTACAATAAGTCATGGAAGATTCTATAAGAATTTTTGCTACAACAGATAAACACATTTACTGTTCAGGAATCTTCCATATTTGAACACTTTTTGCTACATTCTCATGTACACCATTCTTCCCAATGTATAGAAGAGCTAAGAGTTGAGCACAGTAAAGTGAGACAATTTAAAGGGAAAAAAGAAGAAAAATGAAAAAGATGTTTTATGCTGGGCAGAAAGTCTCAAACTGCTACAGTGCCAGGGATTCACAGAACAATGATTTATGGACAGGACTGTTCAGTTAGCCCAGGACTTGCATACTATTAATTATTATAATGGATATAAGTTGTTGAATATATGTACTCTTATAGAATCCTTACCTAATATTTCCTTGGACTAGGTCTTTTGATGTTTCCATTCTGAAAAATGGGAACCAACATGGGAGTGTATGTATGACTAGGTCACCATGTGAGTCCTTTAGTAACCACATTTTAAATCCCAATCTCCCAGTGTAATTGCATCTTGGGTTTTGTATGCATGTTTTGAGGAAATCCAGCTCTTTATGAATAATGTTTGCCATTATACAGGTGCAAAAAGAGTAGACAAATCTAAATAATGGGGAATACATAATCATAGCTCTTGTAAAACCTGATCCCACCTGCTCTGGTCAATTGCTCTCCTTAGAACAAATGTTTAAATTGGGTAAACCTAGGTTTGTCACTGCTCATCCTTCTGAGGGCTTTTTTTTTTTCTTGCAGTTATCTCCAGTTTGAGACCCTGAATGACTTCAGTCCCAGCAATGCCTGTTCTTACCCAGGAAGGGCAGCTAGCATGAAGCGCTGAAGCAGACTCTCAAATTTCTTTTTGTACTTGATAGTATTGACAAACTAAGAGAAACATGTGTAGGATATTTTGTTTTTACAAAATTGTTCAGCACTGTTGATCACTCTGTACTGGAAGATCTCTCCAGGGCCTGCTTCAACCCCAAGCAACAGAGGTTAGTCATTCTTGAGAATGTTTGTCTTATGAGCAAATGTTACAGAACAGAAACTTTCCTTTAAATTAAAGCCCAGCCTGTTGTTCCTAATCATGTTCACTTGACCCATTTACTACCATGTGGAATAGGCAATTGAACTCCACTTCCTAGAGTAAACTAAGTTTTGCTAGCATATTAAAATGAAGGTGGAGATTATAATTTTAATAACTGCTATGCTACATTCTCAGGTTATCTTGGCCAGTTCTTTACAGACATTCAAAATGTATCTGATCTCTTGGTGAAAATAGTTTCCTACATCGTTAACCAAGTTTTGGAAGCTCCTAAATTATATAGAAATATATTGTATAGGTCTTCTACACAATCAAAGCATTTTTACAAGATTAAATATTTAACTTTTCTTCAGGTAAATTTACATACAAATAGCTCAGCCCCAGGCAGCACCATTCCTACCAGTTGATTCTAGTTTCCTAGGAACTAGGAAATGCTGTCATAAAAGTCACCTTTTGGGTCTGTAAATACTGAGCAAACCTCTTAATGCCACTGCTCATGTTCCTAAGATATCTGCTGTTCAAGACACCAAAAAAAATACCAGCAGTACAGGTACTAGGAAGCCAAAGGCATAGATATAACTAGAGATGTCTATAATAGTGGCAAACCACTGCTTAGAACAGGGATCAGCATCCATTTTAGGTCTGCAGGCACATTTCACATTTTAAAATATGTCTGTGGGCACCATCAAAAATTGCAGTTGGCATCAGTGTACCTTCTCTCCCCACTCTCTCGTTCATGATCCCTTCTTAATTAACCCAGTGTTAAACCAAAGCCAAAACACAGGGCCTTGTACAATCCAGAATGCCCAGGTTCAGATTGCACAAGAGCAACCTACCTTCAGGCAATCATAGCTGGTAATATAAAGTGGAGGAGAAGAGCACATCAGAGGCAGCACACTCACTTGCCCTTAGCCACAACTGACAAATCACAGATTGCCATTGTGTGTGAACCATGTAATAGTCTTGATGATGATTCTCTTGCAATATGCTAGTACATATTACCTGCAGTGGTGGCAATTAATAGAGGAAACTACATGGGAATGGACTAAGTATACCCACCATAATTAGTTTGTCCTGGGCATTAATTTTATCTTCTCCTGCATTCTCTATTATGCTTCCATCTGTCTTGTAGGGTAGTGAATTTCTGGACAGTCAGATAGCCACACTGTCTACATTCTACTGTCATCATGTCAGGTAATCCCTTTACATAATTTTAATAATCATCTTGTTTTATTGTAGCCCTCATTTTTGTTTGTTTGTTTGTTCTACAAAAGGCTAATATCTTACTAATCATATCAGACTTGTCAATGTGGCTTTAATTGCATGTGATCACATATTCCTACCTAATTCAATTGTTAAATATTGTCCACCTTCAGACAGTAATTTTGATTTTCTTTTTCCCTTAATTGCACTTTTAAACTATCCAAGAACCAGTTTTCTGGACAGCACGCAGTACAATAAAAAACAGGTAGCTAAATAGTCTGAACTGAGAAGTTATTCTTTAAGACTAAAAATGCTATATTGCTACTGAGCTACCAAAATTGCAAACATTATTTGTTTATTTGTATGACTTTTTCTTTTCTTCCTGGAGGAAATCAAAGAACTGTTAGAATACTGTGCTTCCTGTAATTGTATTATCTTTTTAAGGAGACTGCCAATCCAGAAGGAGGCTTCCACAACTATAGGAAGTAAATTGAAACATGTGAGCAGTATGTCCTATGAATCAAAGCCTCTCATTAGTTTTGCTTTAAAACATGGCTGGATTTATGTATAGAGGGTATATAGGGATTTATAGGGCAATTCTCCGAATGTCTACTCAGAAGTAAGTTGCCTGAGCTTACTCTCAGGTAAGTGTGTATCAGATTGGCACCTTAATCTAGCGCCTCATTTTTAAGTTCAACTGCGATCGGAGAAGTGATTCTTTGTCGAGGCTTGGACTTGCTTTACCTCCTATATGTGGCATAGGGGTATCAAAACTGTAATTGCATTTTGGATGTGTTTGATTTATGCCACAGAGTCAAAAATGCTGAACAGTCTTTGTTTCACACTTGGTGGAAACCCTCCCATGTTTTCAACATACGTAGGATCAAGAAGCTCAATGTGGTGAAGTAATACAGGCAGGAGGGTGCCTTGTCATATAATATGTGTCTTGCACTATTGCACTGTTACTTTAATAAGTGCATTAAGTACTGTTTCAATATTGGTATCTGCTTGTGACACATTGTAACAAGGGTTATCTAGGTTAATCTAAAAAAGGACTGGTGTGTGGAAACTAATATGATATTCAGAGTTATTCAAGTTCTGCAATACTGGGATTGGGCAACCATTACATGTTTTCTTCCCTCCTTTTTTAAATGCGGGGGAAAAGTCTTCCTAGAAGTTATGCAGTTTTCGTATGGTGATTTCTAAACTCCTAGTAGCACACATAGATGACACAGAAAATAAATATCAGCAGTATAGAGTCATGAAATGATGTAGTATTAACCAACAGCAGCTATGCTATTGCAGCCTTTCTGCCCTTTACATTCCATCATTATATATGTTTATGTTTTTATGTATAGGAAGCTATACTCCTACTGCTGGTGGACCCTTCTCTGCTCTCACTCCCAGCATATGGCCTCAGGAAATATTGGCAAGATACACCCAGGTATAATGAAATAAAGGGAAATTGATTTTGAATTCCATTTTTCTTCAGCTGTGGAATAATATTAAGCAAATATTTGAATTTTGGATGTAAGTACTACTCAGCAACATTGCAAATAAGCGCACAGAAGTTACTGGAGTCCTCTGCCCCTTCTGCACCACCTCACTGCATTTCTGCACTGGACACAGAAAAGCAGGCTTCCTTCCTCTTTCAGCCATCTTGAGGTTTATGTTGAATACAGAGGAACGGCAATTACATGCATGATCCTACATTCAGTTTCTTTTTTCCAATGCATGCCAGGCAGTTTGGTTCACTATTACATTTTTATACTGGGTTTAGAGAAGCTTAACGTCTATTATGCTCACTGATTTTTTTTTTTTTTTTTTTTGGCTGTGCCTACCTCTCCAAATGAGAGGCAGAGAGGAATGTAATGTGGTGGGTGTATGATGCATAATCTCCATCATACTGGATAAGATAGGGTATAACATCTAAAATTTGTTTCACAGATTGTGTTGTTGCTATGCACACTATTTAAATACAATTAGGGTTTCATCTGTTTTAGACCTGAGCAGCCATACAGAACACCAAATGTAAATTGAGAATCTGCTTTGAAATATAAAATCCATAGGGATAAAGAAAAACAAAGAGTAATGCAATTGAACATCATGGTGCATGATAGGCGTTGTTATGTGTGCATGAGACAGTGTGATGCAGTGTAGGACTGAGACTCAGGAGAACTGAGTTCCAGTCCCTACTCAGCAAGAGAGCTAAGTAGGCCAGTGACAAAGTCTCAGGTAAACCTACCTCACAGGTTGTTATTGTGAGGATAAGATTGAGAGGAGGAAGAGAATTTTGTAAGCCACTCTGGGTTCCTTGCAAGGAGAAAAGACAGGATGCATTCATTCATTCATTTATTTCAAACTTTTGTAGACCGTCCCATTACTAAAGTCTCAGGACTGTTTAATGATAAAATGTAAGAAAAGAAAACTTAATTAAAACACAGCATCCTAAAATTTTGCAATAGTAAAAAGCCCACTTAAAATAGCCAGGTCTTAAAACATTGGGAAAATAAAAAGGGTTTGGCCTGGCGCCAAAAAGAATAAAGTGATGGCACCAGGCAAAACTCTCTGGGGAGCGAATTCCACAATTGGGGTGCCACTGCAGAGAAGGCCCTTCTCCAGGAAGTCACCATCCTAATCTCCTTCAGGGAGGTCACCCGGAGAAGGGCATCTGCCCCAGATCTTAAGGCACATATGGAAGGAGACGCTCCTTCAGGTAAACAGGCCCTAAGCCGTTTAGGGCTTTATAGGTCATCACCAGCACCTTAAATTGGGCCCAGGCTTCAACTGGAAACCAGTGTAGGTGGAAAAGGACCAGCCTTATATGTTCATGCCTGCTGGTCCCTGTTAACAACCTGGCAGCTCTATTTTGGACCAGTTGAAGTATCCAGTTTGTCTTCAAGGGCAGCCCCACATAGAGCGTGTTACAGTAGATGTAAACAGAATGAATGAATGAATGAAATCTGCTCAGTGATGTTCACAGGTTTTAAGTGCAGCAGGATGAAGAATGTAAATAGAGGACCTGACAGAAGTGTGTGTTCCAAGGCCTTCTGCATTAAATCAGGAATTTTATGACTTACAATAGCAGATATTTATCTCCTTATGTAATTTGGAGAGTTCCAATAAACTCACAGATTAGGCTTAAGGTGTAATCCTATGCAAGTTTAGACAGAAAAAGGCTTCCAATTTTTCTGCGTAAACTTGCAAAGGATTGCACTTTAAATGGGTTCACAGCATTTAACTCAAAAAACAGATGGTATGTATTCTAGAAGAATGGTTGTGACAACTGTTGAGGGTCTTCTGATAGAGGAGCTTAAGTGGAAGATTTTTTCTATATCTGAAAATAGTAAGATAGAAAAATTAGCGATTTCCAAATGTGTACAATATGCAGATCTCACATATGCTTTGCAAAACAAAAGGGAGGCAAAGAAAAAATGAGAACATCCTCCAGCATTTTCTTCCTAGTTTTTCTGTGTGGGTCACTTTATGTATGTCTGGGGGAAAATGTTGAAGAGGAATGCTATGGCACAGCAGTTTAAGCTTCTTCCATATTTAATTTGGATGTCTGAGATGTATAAAAACATATGCAAATTTATTTGGTTGGATCTACCACCTACTGGCAGAAACTAGAAAGCATCTCTATTTTCCTTTTACCCAGAAAGAAGAGTCTGTTGAGCAGCCAGAATTCCGGTATGATGAATTTGGTTTCCGAGTAGACAAAGAAGGCAAGATCTTTATTTGTGTGGTATGATTTGTGACAAACTTTCCCTGGAGCTCTCCCTCTCTGAAGTCCTTTATTTCCAGCAGAAACATTCTGATTATTATGGTGCCATCTAGTTCTCTGTGTTGCCACCTTTATTGATGAGCCTCTGCCTCTGATTTGCTTCATTCATCCTGTCCTAAACATAAAAGGCATTCACCCTTTATAACTCATGAGAGATGTACATGCAGTTTGTACATGGGTATCTGTACCAGATACTTAACATGAAGTAAGAAGCATTCATAAAAGGCTGACTTTGAACAGTTTACTATGTGTGTTAAATATAAAATGAAACCCAGTAATATTATTATTAGTTTATTATTGATACTGGCCACTTAGGAATTTCATATGAATCAGAAAGACTATATACTATTAGTATATAGTTTTTCAAATACACACTTCTTTTCCTGCTTGCATTTGAACTGATTAATACAGATAGGCCTCATACAAGGTGGCTGAAGTGGGTTTTTGCATGTGATGTTGCAGACAGCTATGATCTGTGAATTGGGTTACACTGGGTTACGTATCACAAACTAATATCCCTTGTTTCCTGTCTCTCTAGGCTGTAAAATCTTGTTATTTAGAGAATAGTGTTTTTAGAGGGCAACCATCACCTTACTTTTTTCTTCCCACCACTAAAGTTGTATGCCTTGCTACAGATGGTGCTGAGCCAAACTCCAGCAAGCTCTTGGGGATCCCTCTGATTGAAGAGCCACAGCAGAGGCTGAAATGGCAGGCACATTTAGAGTTCACCCACAACCATGATGTAGGGGACCTCACCTGGGACAAAATTGAAGTCGTACTTCCACGTTCAGATAAGCTGCGATTGTTGGTGTTAGCTGGTATTCCTCACAGCATGAGGCCACAGGTGAGGCACTTCTGGACTAGCCATGGAGGGAAATTTATGGGTGAGATTTCCTGTTTCTTTCTTCTAACTCCTTCACGTTTTTTTGCCCAGCTGTGGATGCGACTATCAGGTGCTCTTCAGAAGAAGAGGAATTCAGAAATGTCTTACCGAGAAATTGTGAAAAACAGTTCAAATGATGAAACCATTGCTGCCAAACAAGTGCGTAATCCCCATGAATTAGTGCTTGGTGCTCAACACAAGGGTACTCTTTGGGTGGATTGGAGTAAAAGAGAGGTTAAAACAGAAATGAGAAGAAGGGAGTGCCCATTATAGAAACAGTTTGGGCTAATCCTTTCTGTACACTAAATATGACTTAGCAGGATTGTCTTGCAGTTTTGTTGGAAGGAGAAGCAGGGAGCTTATTCTCACTTGAAAGTGCCCAGTATCCTGGTCCAAGTGTTAGCATCTCCTTCAACCAGCACAAATTTCCTTTGCTATACAGCAGAGACTAATTTTTTTGCAGGAACAGAATTTGCATAAAACATTGAGGAGCACCTCTTGAGATGATTTTATGCTAATGAGTATTAACAACAATTTGCTGTGGAATGCAAACACAGAACAAAATGTGTAGTAGTAGTCTGGGTTCAGCAATATAAAGTAGTGTGTATGTTAAATTCTCTCTCAGCAGCGTTGTTTACCCAACTCTGAATCTCAAACCTAAAGTTCTTTAGAGAAAGAATTACAGACAGCCCAATACGTGCAAACTACAGAAACCCCAATAAGGAAGGATTTTGCAAAACCGCCTGGGGAATGTGAAGTAACTTTAAAGATAACTTTTTTTGCAATACAATTGTTGCCTTTGTACCTCACATACTCTTTAAGAGGAACTGTAGGCTGCTAAGGTGGAGCCTTCCACTTCCTTCCTTTCATCTTGCTGTAACACATTCTGTCACAACCATCAGAATGAAAATATTTACTTGCCTAAAGTGGGTTGGAGGTGGAAGGAAAGTATCATGAAGTAATAGCATATAATGCAATGGTAAAAATTGGCAAGAGGTCTGAAATAAAAATCAGCCCTTAGCACCTAATGCCCCAGTGACCCAGTTGCTACTATTTGTGGAAATTCGGCATTTCATGCAGGATGATTTAGAGACACGCACAACCAGCTGATGCATTTTTCTCTGTGTGCAATAACATGGACTCTGTGCTTTTGTACTTGAAGCAGTTCATTTCAGGCTATACAGACAGACTTCATTAGGCAAACTTCCATGCAGAGGTCAAATAGAAGTGTCAGCTCCAGGCCTCCTTTGTCAGGGGTACAGGAAATATGAAGGCTGGCTAGGAGTGAGAAGGAGGATGGGGAGACTGATCACTAATGACATATAGAATCCTTATTTGTGATACTTGCTCTTTGTTAGATTGAGAAGGATCTGCTCCGCACTATGCCCAGCAATGCCTGCTTCTCCAATATGAATAGCATTGGTGTGCCACGGCTACGCAGAATACTACGTGGGCTGGCTTGGTTATATCCAGACATTGGCTACTGTCAAGGCACTGGCATGGTAAATGAGCCTAATTTATTGTGAGTTACGCTTCTGTTGTAGCTCTTCACCTTGGGAGATATTTGCAAAGCAGGTGAGCCAGAGGAGTTCATAAGTAACAATGTACAATTTCTTAATGTAGAAGAATAAACAAAATGAGTTCACTTCGGAGATACTAACATTTGGAGAATGAGGTAAACTTCATACATGCCATGATATTTCTAACAAAAATGATATCACTTGCATTGATTTTTAGAGCCTAGCTGTAATGTTTTATTTATTTATTTATTTATTTATTTAAAACATTTCTATGCCGCCCCCATCACAACAAAGCCTCGGGGTGGCTCACAAAGAATACATAAATACATAAATAATAACAATACAACAATTTTTTAAAAAAAATGTTTAAAAACCCCCGGTGCATTCTTGGCTAAAAATTTAAAATCCTATTAATTAAATAATTTAACAATTAAAATAAGTTTTAAATAAAAAGGCCTTAGCCTGTCGCCAAAAAACAAATAATGACAGTGCCAGGCGGACCTCTCTGGGGAGTGCATTCCATAGATGGGGCGCCACCACAGAGAAGGCCCTCCTCCAGGTACTCACCCTCCTAATATTCACAGAGGGTTCCAAGAGAAGGGCATCTGTTGCTGATCTCAAGGGGTGGGAGGGCATATATGGGTGCAAGCGTTCCTTTAGATATCCAGGTCCCAAGCCGTTTAGGGCTTTATAGGTCATAACCAACACCTTGGATTGGGCCCGGACTTCAATTGGGAGCCAGTGGAGCTGATGGAGAACTGGGGTTATATGAGAACAACGCCCAGTCCCCATCAGCAACCTGGCAGCTCTATTCTGCACCAATTAAAGTATCCAGACTGTCTTCAAGGAATATTTGGAATAGCTTGGAAAATCTCCACATCCTCCGTAGCAGCCATTAAGAACTAATAGAGTTTCAAGCTGGGAGGGAACAGTTAGACTTAACACAATGCAGTCATCTATTCAGAGAGATGTGTCTTCATGTGTCAGCACGGGTATAAAGAACTTGTTGCCATATTAATTTCTTTTTACCTTTCACTGCCTTCACATGGCGCCACAGCTACACCCATATCTGAACAGGGATAGCCTAATTTCAGTAATCCATATTCTGGTAATCTCTGTATTAGATTACTGCAATGTGCTCTATGTGGGGCTGCCTTTGAAGACTGTTCAGAAGCCGCAGCTTGTGCAAAAGGCAACAACTAGATTAATAAGTGGTACCAGAAGGTCTGAACATATAACACTTATTCTGATCTGTTTACATTGGGTGCCTATACACTTCTGGACACAATTCAAGGTGCTGGTTTTAACGTATAAAGATCTGCAACTGCAATACCTGATGGAATGCCTCTCCTGACCTCAATTTCCCTTGACCCTACTGTCTAAAACTGGGCTTTTCCCCAGTTGCCAGTTCCAAGGGATGTCCAGGAAAAGTTAATAAGGAGGGCTTTCTCAGTGGCAGCCCCCTAATTATGGAACAGTCTCCTCAGTAAAGCCCAACTGGTGCCAACATTGCTATTTTATCAGCATCAGATTAAAACTTCTCTCCATTCCCAGGCATTTCATGGCTTATGTTGACTCATTTCAGCTGTTTTATTAATCCTAGTTTTTATTGAAATTGCTTTACTTGCAGAGTTATTGGCACTGTAGTCTGGAATAAAAGTTGCATTGTGAACTAAGTTTGCACTCTACTGCTAACCCCACTAAAAGCTTGTTTTTTAAGGGGAATTTTAAAGACAGCCTTCAGTACAAGCTCCCAGCTAGCTCATATTAAGAGCATGGTCTAGAGTTACACGGAGTATTATTATTATTATTATTATTATTATTATTATTATTATTATAACATTTCTATGCCGCCCCTTGCCAAAGCCTCGGGGCAGCTTACAACACAATAAAATACATTGAAATACAATAGAACATAATAAATTACCATTAAATACAAAAATACAAAAAATACACTGAGTTTCAAACATAATAATATAAAATTAAAAATAACAGTATAAAATAAGTAAATAAAGAATATAGGAGGAGAAAAGAGAAGGAAGAAGAAGCTGCCCTGGCCAGATCATATATTTTAACAATTAAAATGATGTTTAAATAAAAAGGTCTTTACCTGGCGCCGAAAAACCATTAACGACGGTGCCAGGTGGACCTCTTTGGGGAGTGAATTCCATAGGTTGGGCGCCACCGCAGAGAAAGCCCTCCTCCGAGTACTTACTCTCCTAATTTCTTTCATGGAGGGTTCCCGGAGAAGGGACTCTCCCGCAGATCTCAAAGGGCGGTCGGGCATATACGGACGTAAGCACTCGTATCTGTTTGTCAAAACAAATGCATATCTCAGATTCTTAAAACATTGTTAGGGCCCTGGGATTTCATTTCAGAGGCTTCTATCAGGCTACTTATGTCCTGCCACTGAAATAATAATGCTGATTTTCACTGTTGTGAAATTATGTTACTGTATATGAGGGCACCAAAGACTTTCCAGTGTCATGCATGCTTTGCAGGTCTTTTTAGGTCTTTTCTTTCCTCATGCCAGGTAGTGGCTTCCTTGCTTCTTTTCTTGGAAGAGGAAGATGCCTTCTGGATGATGTGTGCTATCATTGAGGACCTGGTGCCAGCCTCCTACTTTAGCACCACTCTGATGGGTGTTCAGACTGACCAGCGTGTCCTGCGTCATCTCATTGTGCAGTATCTGCCACAACTGGACAAACTTCTTCAGGAACATGACATTGGTAAAAACAAACAACAACAACAAAACCCCTAAACCTAATTCATCTGCTGATCCTTATTTTTTTTTAAATGGCCCCTTGTTCATTCCAGAAATTGGACAGAATGAAAAGAGGACCAGTGGGAGGATAATCCTTCATTCATTCAAGAAGGCCCCATAATGAACTCAGAGGGCAATGCAATTTGGATGTTTGAAAACCTCCAAATTGAGAGAATTCTGGGAAGTTTGAGGGAAATGGCAGAGACAACTTCTGCCTTCCCACTCCTGCCATTCCACAAGTCAGCCTGATGACTGATTTTGGCTGTCTAACTACAGTGCTTTAGAGGGGAAAGAAAGGAGACTGGAGCACAGCTAGGATACTTCATATCCAGATGACCCCATTCTCCTCCCTGCCCCCTAAAATGATCTCTCTGTCCCTTCTCCAGGGTTGTTTTTATAACCATAATGAAGCAACCTTGTGGTCCTTTCCACACCAGCTGCAAGGAGTAAGGATGGCAGTCCGAGCACAGATCCTATGATTTGGGATGCTGTCTAGGGGGCATAAGATCACTGTTAGCTACATAAAATGGAAAAATAGGTATGTCTGGCTTTAGTAGTGGTAGAGTACACATTCTTTGCAGTCATATGATTGCAGGTTTAGCCTCTAAATTTTAGAGTCTAAAATCTCCAGTTAAAAGGCAATTAGGTGTCAGGAAAAATTCTGCTGGAAACACTGGAGTGCGACTGGCAATGAGAGTGCACAGTGCCTATCTAAAAGAACAAATAACCCAACTCGCTATAAGGCAACCTCCTATGTTCCATTTAACATCTGCATAGTACTTATAGGGCCCTTACTGCAAAACCTTTAAGGATTCTACATTTTACTTTCTGCTTAGGAGGAGGAAATTTAAGTGATTTACTGTAATAGGATCCCAGTGAGTTTTCCGATTCAGAGTTTAACTCAAGTTTCATAAACTGCCCTGTAAACACAACTAACAGCAATCATTTCCAGTAGTGCTACCACTCGGGAACTGTAGTAGAGCACCTGGATGAAATGTGTTTTGTACAAAGGGTACTTTCACTGTGGGGGTGGAGGGAATGTTTGGATTGAATTGAAAAATGCTGCAGCGCTCAGTCCTGCTAATGTGCATAGTTCTCATTCAGTGTGTGCAACCTTCTGTGCCACTGAACTAGATGCTAGCAATGCTTTGTGGAATTAGAATTGAAAAGGGAGCTGTATTTGCTTCCATTTCATTATAGTGACCTTCACTGGGACACTTATTTAAAAGAGAGGGTTGTACGTCTTCTCTGTTTATGTTGGGAACAGGTGACTATATGGAGTCAGGCATAGGGTCAGTTTCTTCTGGTGACTGGAATAATGTATTTCCCTCTCTGTCTCCTTCCACAGAGTTGTCCCTGATCACTCTACACTGGTTCCTTACGTCGTTTGCTAGTGTTGTGCATATAAAGCTGCTGCTACGCATCTGGGACCTTTTTTTCTATCAGGGCTCCATAGTTCTCTTTCAGGTCACACTGGGCATGCTCAGCATGAAGGTAACTGATGTTACTCAACTCCCTATCTTCTCTTTCTCCTTTGTGCAATATGCAGAATAATGTGTTCTAAATCTAGGGAGCCAATATGTCAGGAAAAAAGAATGAAAAGTACAGTGTTTTCCCTTTCAAACCCTTTGACCTTTCATTATCCCTGATAAGTGTTGCCTTACTTACCCCTTTTCATTCTTCTGAAATAATGCCAACAAGCTAATATATAGATTAGTGGATATGGATGGACCAACAAAACCAACAAAGATTTATATATCTGGCTATTTTTTTTAGCAGATGGCATTATGACAGGCATTTTCCACAGGAGCTAAACAAAGTAAATTGCTTTAACTATCCTGCTTTTCTATGGTGCATATTGATGGTGTGATTCTGTACGTGTCTACTCAGAATTGGTTGACTGAGCTCAGTGAAATTCTATTGAGTGCAATGAGATGTACTCCCAGGTATGTTGGATTGCAGCGTTAGAGCAAAACCTCCAGTGTGTGGCTAGTAGTGTGGGATTGGTGCAGGATGGCTAACATGCCCCATGCAGAGCAAGCTAAAACTCTTTACCTTTAAGGAATTTCTTCATATACCACTAGGAAAACAATTTGAAAGTTTTGGTCTCAAAGTTAATTGATTTAAACCATGGGAACCTTTTTGCAGGCTTTCTATATTCTGTCAGCTTGTTTCTCTGATTCATCCCTATCTGAGCTGACAGAGGCCGTCTCGGACCTGGTGTTGAGGACCCCCAGGATGTTGGTCCTGGGGGACTTCAATCTCCATGCCAAGTCTGGACTGACTGGGGCGGCTCAGGACTTCATGGCCTCTATGACGGCCATGGGCCTGTCTCAACACGTCATCGGCCCGACCCATGAACGTGGACACACTCTGGACCTGGTTTTCTCGACGGGGCAGGAAGAGGATGACCTGAGGGTGAGGAACTTATGTTTGACTCCCCTGTCATGGTCAGATCACCTCCTGGTGAGATTTGTGCTCGAGAGCGGCCTCTCCCTCTATAAGAGTGTGGACCCGATTGTATGGGCCCGCCCCCAGAGCCGGATGGATCCGGATGGATTCCTGAAGGCCCTGGGGGAGTTTCCGGCTGACAAGACTGGTGCTCCTGTCGAGGCTCTGGTCGAACTGTGGAACGGAGAGATGACCAGGGCTGTGGACACGATCGCTCCCAAGCGTCCTCTCCCACCAGGCAGAGTCCGCTCTTCCCCTTGGTATACACCTGAATTGCGGGCGATGAAGCGGGTTGGGAGACAACTAGAGCGTAGGTGGAAGAAATCATGGGATGAATCTGATCGAACACACTTGAGAGCCCACTATCGGGCCTATGCTGTGGCGGTGAAGGCGGCGAAAAAGAAGTTTTTTTCTGCTTCTATTGCCTCCTCACAATGCCGTCCGGCGGAGCTTTTTCGAGTGGTACAAGGCCTGGTTCACCCAGGTCCTAAGGAAGATCCGATGCCACTCTCAAAGGCCCGCTGTGACGACTTTGCCAGGCATTTCAGCGAGAAAATCGCTCAGATTCGTCACAAGCTGGACTCCACTAATGAATCAGAGGTCTCTGGGGAGACGCCAATGCTACCGTCTGGTCCAAAATTATTGGAGAAATTTCAATTATTGCGGCCCGATGATGTGGACAAGGTGCTTGGACGAGTATGTCCCACCACTTGCCTATTGGATCCTTGCCCATCTTGGTTAATAAATAACTCCAAGCATGGGATTGGGACCTGGATCTTGGAAGTGGTTAACGCTTCTCTGAGGGAGGGTCAAGTGCCTGCCCCTTTAAAGGAGGCGGTAATACGACCAGTCCTGAAGAAAGCGTCACTGGATCCAGAGATGGCCACTAACTATAGACCTGTGGCCAACATCCCGTTTCTGGGCAAGGTGTTGGAGCGAGTGGTGGCGGGACAACTCCAAGCACTCTTGGATGAAACTGATTATCTGGATCCTTTTCAGTCCGGCTTCAGACCCAGGTACAGTACTGAATCTGCCTTGGTCACCCTGTACGATGACCTGTGCAGGGAGAAAGACAGGGGGAGTGCGTCCCTATTGGTTCTCCTGGACCTCTCAGCAGCTTTCGATACCATCGACCATGGTATCCTTCTGGATAGGCTAGCGGGATTGGGGGTTGGAGGCACTGCTTTGCAGTGGTTCCGCTCCTATCTCAACGGTTGATTCCAGAAAGGTAGTGCTGGGGGACTATGTCTCTGCGCCATGGCAGCTATGCCATGGAGTACCACAGGGCTCCATTCTATCCCCTCTGCTATTTAACATCTACATGAAACCGCTGGGAGAGGTCATCAGGAGGTGTGGGCTGCGGAATCATCAATACGCTGATGATACCCAGCTCTACCTCTCGTTTTCCACTAATCCAGGTGAGGCAGTGGCTGTGCTGAACCGGTGCTTGGCCAAGGTAATGGAATGGATGAGGGCCAATAAACTGAAACTCAATCCAGACAAGACGGAGGTCCTGTTGGTTGGTGGATCGGGCTTCAGAGAGGGTGGATTTGACCTGGTCCTGAATGGTGCAACACTCCCTCTTAGGGACAAGGTCCGCAGCTTAGGAGTACTCCTCGACCCAGAGCTTTCTTTGGAAGCTCAAGTGACAGCGGTGGCGAGGAGCGCCTTCCTTCAGCTTCGGCTGATTAATCAGCTGCGCCCCTACCTGGAGTACGACTGCTTGGCGACGGTGACACACGCACTGGTGACTTCCCGCCTAGACTTCTGTAACACACTTTACGTAGGGCTTCCCCTCAAGACGGGGACGGGGCGTTATGCTCACATGACTCCAGTCCTCCGTCAGCTTCACTGGCTTCCCATTGAAGCCCGGGCCCAATTCATGGTGTTGGTTATGACCTATAAAGCCCTAAACAGCTTGGGTCCTGGCTACCTGACCGAGCGCTTACGTCCGTATATGCCCGACCGCCCCTTGAGATCTGCGGGAGAGTCCCTTCTCCGGGAACCCTCCATGAAAGAAATTAGGAGAGTAAGTACTCGGAGGAGGGCTTTCTCTGCGGTGGCGCCCAACCTATGGAATTCACTCCCCAAAGAGGTCCACCTGGCACCGTCGTTAATGGTTTTTCGGCGCCAGGTAAAGACCTTTTTATTTAAACATCATTTTAATTGTTAAAATATATGATCTGGCCAGGGCAACTTCTTCTTCCTTCTCTTTTCTCCTCCTATATTCTTTA